AATCAAGAGCTGTTTTTCTTTCTTTTTGTATTAAAAAGCATTGTAATGGCTGAATTTTGTTTCAGAGTAAGAATGTATATTTCTTCATAACAAAAATTCTCATTAGAAGTATCCAGTTCAAATTTAAAGGATTTCTAAGCCAAAACTAAGGTATGTTTAACATTATTCAATAAAAAAAGGCTGATGACTATATATTTCGTTATCAAATGATACAGTAAGTCGGCGAATTCACGAAATGGCAAATTCCATAAAAGAGACACTTATTCAAAAAATAAAACACGGTGAGTATTCCACATTGCAGTTGGATGAAAGTACTGATATGACGAACTTTTTTCAGTTATTAGTTTAAATACATTTTAAAGAAGATAAATGAATTGCTCAAGAGTATTTATTTTATGACTATCTTCATTATAGAGCAACTGCAAATGAAATTTTTAAAGTAATGGACAATTTTACGGCTGAGAATGTTATTCTATGGTGTTTGTGCATATACAGTACAGTGGCGGAGCTCAAGCTTTAACAGGAAAACATTTCAGTGTTATTTCTCAAATAAAGAAAATTGCACCTGAAATTAAATTTACTCACTGTTCCATTAATCGTGAAGCTTTAGTATCCAAAACAATCCTCGAAAACCACAAAATTGTTTTGAATCAAGCTCAAAAATTGTTAATTTTATTAAAAGCCAAGCATTAAAATAAAAAATATTTATGGTTTTATTTCAAGAAATGGGCAGTGAACACGAAACACTTTTGCTACATTTCTAACTAAGGTGTTATCCAGAGGCAAAGTTTTAAATCGTCTTTTTGAACTTCGATCAGAAATTCAAATTTTCTTCTGTGATTCAAAATTTGAATTGCAAAAATGTTGCTTAGTAAATTATGCTTGGCACATGTAGCATATTATTTAGCTAATATTTCTGGAATGTTAAATGAATTAAATTCAGGATTACAAGGGCAGATTGTTAATTTGTTTAAATAAATGCAATGATAAAAAAACCTCACTAATAATCAAAGAATTGGATATTTTTTAAAGTTTTTTACCACTTTTAGAAAAGTTTTCTAACCAAAAATAATTTGAAAATAAAAGACAAATTAGTATCCAACATTAAAAAAGAATGTTTTTCATTGATAAATAATTTCAACATGTATTATTTTCTCTAGGATTATCAAAAAGAAAATTGGATTAGAAATCCATTTATGAAAAAGAAAATTGCATTAGAAATCCATTTGTATCCCGTGAAGAAAAAGAACAATTGGTAGAAATTTCGTGTGATTTTTGAAGATTTAAAAAATAAAAGATTTTTGAAGATTTCAAAAATAAAAGACACTTATCAACTTTTGGCTGAACTGAAAAAAAGAATTTAAAGTAATTTCAAATAAAGCTATCAAACTTTTATTGTCTTTTTGAACATCCTATTTGTGTGAACAAGGATTGTCTTCCGTATTATATTTTAAAAATAAATACAGAACATAATTAAAAGTGAAACTTAATTTATGGTTAAAACTAAGTGAAATAAGACCAGACATAAAGAAACCGATCTCTCTTAAACAGATATGGAGCCTTTGTCAAACACCTGCAGGGGTATGTGGCCATCCAGCATAATGCTTGCCCAAACTATTATACCTTCACCACCACAATGATCCTTTTCCTTGATGAGAGAATGATGGTATCATGTTCCAGGTTCTCTTTATATGCAGGTATGCCAAGAATCAGTGTCTAGGCTGAATCTCAACTCATCTGTAAAAACACAGTACTCCATTGAAGTCTAGTTCAAGGCATATCTTGTCTGCGTCATGTTAAACACATTGTCTTAACCCTATCTGATCTAAAGCCTTTGGGCAAATGTAGACTGTGAAACTTGAGTTCCAGTGGCAACATATGGCTCACGTGAGAGCTTTGAAGCAGTAGCAGTCCTGTGTCATGGCACTGAAAGTGCTAAATAATGATCCTTATTCATCGTTGTGGATCTTGACTGACCTTGTCCAGATGTTCTTGATATACATGCGGTGTCCTGAAACTGTTTCCAAAGATTGCAGATGACACTGGGTATTACATTAAGCTCTGTGGCCACCCGCACTTATGATTAGCCTGTCTCCAATCTGCTGAAAATTTTTGTATCTCATTTTGCCATCCATATATTCATGGCTACTTATTTTATCTGATACCATATAAAATTGATCCAATTCTTGCGAGAAATATAGCTAGTGACGTAAAGGAGTACAAGTACGCAATTTGACGAAAATCCCCAGTGCAGTTACATCCCATCCACAATCACGCACGCGTATGCTTATGTATTCAACTCTGAATATTTGCATAGTTCGTTGGCAACATTGTTAATACCTTTGGTTCTATACTTTTCATAAAAATAGACTTAATTTTTGAATTCTTATAATTTTTCACCTGTGTTTGTAATTAGATTTAATATGATATGCATTGATATATGCTTCTAATATATATGAAAACAAATAATTCATTTTATCTAATTGAATCTTTAAATGCTGTCTATTTTTTATTACTTTTGCAGAGTGAAGCTGGTAAAGTACTTTAATATTTAACTGGCACAGAATGTTTAAAGGCAATTTATTATTAAATATCTCGTTAATTATAGTAAAAAAAATCATAGTTAACAATAAAATATTTATTTGACAATACATGTCAATAATAGTACGTCACTAAGCATTTTATTGTAATTTCCAACATTATATCATTATTGTCATTATTTATGCTCTCTTTCGTATAATGAAGATAATTTGTTTAAGATATTTTTCATAAATGTTTGATGCTTGACTTTTGGTTATAAAATCTTGATATATCTATGTGAAGCTATGCTTAGAAGAAAGAATAATATGTCTGAACATAATTTTTATTACTGTTTTGCTATTTGTCATATGGTAATATACTTTAATCTGTATGTATGTATTAATACAACCATCTTGGTGCAGTTTGGCAATTTTTACGTATGAAGAGGTAAGTTATTTCTTGGGTGCAGGTTGGCAATTTTCATGACTTTTTAAAATGCTTCCCAAATTATCAGCGTTTATTGAAAGTCAGCAAAATTTATAAACATATCAAAAGGAAATACACTGTATCATTTTAAAATACAAATTTTAATTGCTAAACAAGGTTTATCATAACAGATGAAATATTTTTTGCAAACCTTTCTGTAATTTTTTTCTGTATTCTTCTCATGATCTGTTCATGGCTTAAAAAAATCAGAGAATTGCTCAGATTTGGCCTTGTGCATAACTGCAGCATTCTACATCAGCTGTCTACCAAGTGCATCTCATTAGTGTTCCTTTCACTGTGTTTGCAACAAAATGTGGTTTTCCCACAGAAATTTTGCTGCAGTTTCTTTCATTGCTGGCAAATTCCTCAAGTGCAAATTTTAAAATTGAGCTCACGTCAAAATTTATCTTATTTGTCTCTAAAAAAACTGTTAAATACAACAAAAATTGGAATACAACAAAAAGAATGCATACAGAAATGGTGATGTTGCTTGACTGAAGGATTGTTATATGTATAGTTACTGGAAGAATAGTTATGTGAATTCTTGCCAGACTTTTTCATTCTGAAAATTTGGTGACTTGATATAATATGTAAGTAACTTTTAATATTATGTTGTATAAAGGAGAACTTTTGTCTAGAATCTTGATATATCAATATAATGACCAAATTTCATATTTTTGTGTGGCCTGTCATTAAAAAATTAAATTATTTGTTTCAAATCAAAAGGAAATCTTTATAAATGGAAAATTATCTTAATTTGTGAAATTTACCTTCATAAAGTATTTCTTAGGTAAAATTTGTTAATCTCTAATTTGATGTGATTGGGTTTTTTAAATTGTTCAAATGTTTCAGCAATAAAAATACCCAAGTATATCATTTCGAATATTGATTTTATGTTGTGTTTCTGTATTACAACAGATGAATTATTAATCAGTAATTTGATGTGATTTGGTTTTTTATGATTTTTCTAATGTTTGAGCAATAAAAAGGCTTGGAGAATGTTTTGAATTTTGATTTTTCTGTCGTATTTCTATATTATAGTAGATAAATAGGTTAGTTTTACTCAGCTATGGGAATTACCATATAATTTTCTTTTATTTTTCATTGCAAGTTAAGAATTTATGTCTTTATGACTGAAGTTTGTTATGCTGTTTGTACGAGGGTAGATTTCCCCCCCCCAAAAAGGGGGTTACAAGGGTAATAAAATGTTATTTATTAACAGTAGGCATAAAATACAAAAGGGAATTAAAATGCATATTTGCTTATCATTTTTCCACATATTTCAGATTAATGTTCCTTCAGTTTCAGAAAAAGAAAATTGTCGTTGGGTGTGAAATATGGGCACCCAAATGACAAATCCAAAAGTTATCTGTCTATTTGTCCCTGAAAAATACAAAATTTGTCAGGGAGAGGGGACTCCAGACTTCCCACTTAAACTTTTGCAGCAATTCTTGAGTTTGATTAACAGTATGGCGCCCAGGCACTGCCATTGCTGGAGTATGACACCATCACTCAACATGCCAAGGTGCTTGCATTGGATGGCTTCACATAACCTTGATTAAGTGGCACAATAACAATCATCAGTAATGGTATGGCAATGCTACAGGTACTTGATCAGGACAATAAATCATGGCTCGCATCAAATAAGATTTATTTGATGATAATCAAATAAATAAGATTATTTTTCTAAAGATCCAAATAAGATTATTTTTCTAAAGATCTTGCCATTTCAATCGTTCTGAAACATCTGCGAATTTGCCTGCTCAACTGCTGCTAGACAATTAGTGATATCTGCCTACCCTCTGGGAATAAAGTATTCCCTTCCACAATAATTCCTTTTGAAAAGCAATTATTGTGGAGGGCTGCTGATGTTTATAATCTCTTTTTTTTTTTAATCCACTTATGTATTTAGTAATTGTGTGGATGTGAGAAAAAGGAGTATTAGTGAATGCAGAAAACTAAAGTACACTGTTTTCTACTTTCTTTTCTTTAAGATGCCGAGCAAGATATTATTGATGAAGCCATATATTTCTTTAAAGCGAATGTGTTCTTCAGAACATATGAAATCAAAGTAAGTATTATAGGAAATTTTTACATTTCTATCTTATAATGCCTGTATTTTTATGCATCACATCATGTTTGATTTATAAAATAATTTTTCCAACTTATTATTTTTAATCTCTTGGCAAAAGTAATGCAAGATAAAAGTTACTTATTGTGTGCAGTTGGTGATTTTGGCATTTTTTTTTAAACATAACAAGATGTTATTAAAAAAAATATAGCCTGTTTATATTGCATGATGGTTCAATGTTGGTCTGTGCAATGTTTAATGTGTGCAATCCTAAATCTATTGTTGCATGGTACTGTGCAGTATTTAATGTGAGCATTGCCAAGGCTGAATACAAATTTGGCATCGCACAGAATAAACATTATATATCTATTATATGATGCATTCAACGTATCACCCTTCTCAAGATCACTAAGTGTTTCACTACCACATCCACAGAAGCTCTTCAAATTCTTGCACGGGTTCTCCCCTTAGATCTCAAAGCAGAAATTGAGTGTGGTACTTATAGGTTAGTTCATTTTAAGGACACCGTCCAGCTCGATGGCTTCTCATTCATAGACCAGCGCTCCTTAGGACCACATTGCGACTATACTCCCGTATAGTCGCAATGTTACTATACGCGACTATACTCCCGTATAGTAAGGCAGCAAGCCTCTACTTATGTATATATGTAAATATCTCATGTATATATGTGTATAAGCTAACTTTGGTTAATCTTTGAATTATGGTAACTTGGCAATTTTTTGGCGAAAATTTGGCGACCAACTCTGCTACAGCAACCCTCTTTTTTTTTCGCCGCCATTTTGTCTTCAAAAAGTAAAGACATGTTTCTTTTCTTTTTATTTACTGAACACTTTTTCCAACAATCTGCTATCCGAATTACACTTATGCTAGAAATTTTATGGAACAAAACTGCTTAATCATGACAAATATTAACTGCCAAATTGGGAAAAAGTGCAGAATCGCAAACTCCTTGCTGCGTTTTTCAGAATAGCATATACACATAAACCATGTACACGTCGACTTATTTTTAGTTAAAAAAAATCCCAGAATTGCACAAAAATGACATTGCACACACTCTTAACTTTATCCATCTATACTGCTATTTTCTCATAAATTACAAAAATTTGCACGAAAATGCAGGAAAATTTTGTGAATCTTTAAACTCGGTAAAAAGCACATATATGAAATTACCTGATCGCGAAAAAGTATATACCCTTTCCAAGGATGAACATTTCCACGTATAAAATAAATAAAATATCCAAAAACTTTTACCTCTAAATTATCTATTATAAACGTCACCAACAAATTCATAATGCAAACATTAAAAATGGTTGCAAATACTTAGAGTCAAATACTTAAATTATTGCCATGCACTGAAATTATTGCCATGCCACTGAAACGTATACCAAATTCCTACAAACATATAATTCACAAAATAACTATCATTTAATTAAAATAGCATTAAGTTAATAAAAATTAGCTTATAATCCTAATTACTTTAAACTAAATCATTGCTAATAACAATTTTCTAATAATACCATATTACTTTATTTACTCCTTACATTTAGAACAATGCATAAAAATAATATCCTCAAATAATTAAAATACTAACTTTCCTAACCTTCTTCAAAATCTTGATTACGTGGCGGATAAGCTTTTCTTATAGATTAAATAATCCAGTAGTCAACTGGCATTCTATTCACCCACTAATAAGAAATTAAAATTTCCCCCACACTCAAACACACTTTCAGCAAACCACGTACCCTTCCTTACACTGCGTTTCACAAAATGTCCATTTTCACCAGATTTCTTGCACCACCATTCAAACTTATCTGTAATATCCTTCCTTTCACACAATCTCATTTCATTCCCACATGTTGGACATTCATACTTATCCGCAATTAATCCTACACTCATACACCATTCAACCAATTCTTTTGAATTATCAGATAAACGCATTAAAAATTTAGAATTCACTTTAGATAGTGCCATGCAATCCAAAAATTAATCAACACTCTTTCACACAACATACAATGAAGCTTAATACAAAATAATATAGTACTACAGATATTTTTCCAAATTTACCCCCTTTTCTGATTAAAGAACTGTAATTCGTCCATTAATGTCACATGACATATCTCATGATCTCTCATTTCCCTCACACAAAATAATGCGTATTCAGAACTGAGTACTTCTCACATTATTCCCAAAGTCCTAGGTAATAACCTTTATCGCCTCCAAAATGTCGCCAAACTACCGTTACCATATTCCAAAGATTAGGTTGCTAACGGTTGCTATTTTTATACTAACATTCCCAAAAAAATTGTAAGTTGAAGCACCCAACAAAAGTAATAACTATTGTTAAATCTGTTTATCTATAATAAGGTTGAAAAGATAAACAACCAAAATAGGTTGCTGTAGCAATGATCAGAATAACATGACTGACCTGTAGTGCCCATTGAGGGGTGAAGCAAGTGGAATAATAATAAATAAATAAAATATGATACATTATTGTTATTCGTGGTTAATCTTTTTTCATGAAGCATTATATATCATTATGGTTGAAATCATCTAGTTAGGTTTCATGCCGTTATTTATGTTTGGTGCTAAGTAGCATCCTTTTAACAGAAAAGGACCCAAATTTAAATTATTAAACTAGTATTTTACGATACATCAAAAAACAAAATACTTTGTTATTCTTTTCATGTACGTCACAGTCCATTTTCACTAAAAAAAATAATAATTAGAGAATTGCTCAAATTCAGTATTGTGCATGTACCTGTATTTAATATGATAATGTACTGATCTGTTACAAGTACCTGTTGATTCTAACATAAAAGTTAAAAAAAAAAAAATCATATAATTCAGTGGTTCCCAACCTTTTTATCCTTGTGCACCGCTTCTGAAATCTGAAGAACTTCTTGTGTAGTCATTAGGTACAGGTAAGAAACAATAAAATTTGGTAGAACATGTATTTTCCATGTTGCACAATAGTTCATGACGAAACAGAAGCATAATTATAAAACATCTAAGTACAAACATTAATAAAAACTAACTTGAATGCAAAATTAATTCAACAAATCAACGTATTCTTAGTTAAGTTAACTGATTAATAACTTATTTAACTGATTCTTGGTTATACATTAAATTTGAAAGAACTCTTAATGGATATTTGTGGCTGTCTGATGGAGCAAAAAAATTCAAAGATTAACTGAGTGTCTGACAGTTTCAGTCTTAAATCAGGTTCTGCATTTAGTCTGTTTCTGTATTTATATTTCACATACATATTAAAAATCATACAGATTATTATTCACATACATATTAAAAATTAAATACATATTAAAATTCCTCTCTGATATGGAAATGTTGGGCAAAAAGGTTAATAAAACTTTAATGGCTTTTTTGACAAAACACTATATTCATTTGTAACACTGAGCGAGAAATCAGTTAAAGAATGATCTTTAAAAATAGCTTTTAGGGAACTGTCACAGAATAACTCAATGAGTTTTCTTTTTCCAGTAAAGTTACAGAGGTCTCTGAGCTTACATCTCTTTGTAAAGGACTACATTTCCAGTTGTATGTATGATAGTGATTTATTGCATCTCTTAGGAAAATTGTCATAAAAATTAATTGAAGATATTTCAGATGTTCACATATATTCATTTTAATCCTTTCATTAGTTGAATTTTCTGATTAAAAGCTGGGAGAACCAAAACATTCATATTTATCCATTTGCAGACATTGGATCCAAAAACTGAACTTCTTTAGCATGGTTTTAATGCTATCATGCTCATTTATATATAGTTACACCTGCGCCTTTTAATGAACAGATTTAATTCATTTAATTTACAAAAGCTGTCAGCAAAGTGTGCTACCATTTGCAGCTAAAGAATATCCAATACACAAGAAGACAAATGAAATGGATTATTAATAAACAATGCATGAACTTTTATACTTCAGTTTAAACAAGTAGGTCAAAAATTTGCCATGGGAAAGCCAAACTTCTGTGTAAAGCAGTAAAACATGAAGGCTTTCAAAATCCTCACAAAGCACATGCAATAGATGGCAGTTTGCACCACGTGATTTTAACAAAATTAAGAATTTTTAGAGCATCACTTAAAATAATAGACAATTCTGCAGGAATATGCTTACATGCAAATGCTTGTCTATGAAGATGACAACAAATCCATTTAGTTTTTTCATTAATCTTCTGTAGCCACACCACCAGACCAGAAAACTTTTCTGTAATTGATTTTGCACCATTTCTATACCCACACCAATACAATACACCCCGGTTTATTCCGTTGTTTTTTCCAAAATAACTATTAACTGTATCGAAAATTGCTTCTCCAGTTATATAGGTTTGCAAAGGTTTTGCAAATAGTACATCCTTTTGAATAGAATTATTAAAAATATATCAAATGTAGTCAAGCGATACTGGAGTGTTTGCTACATCAATCGACTCATCAAGCTAAATTACAAAATAAAACAATTTTATTCTCTTCAAAATTCACTGTCCACATTATTTGTCAAATCATTAATTCTATGCTACTCCGTATTGTTTGGTAAAAGAACTAGGTCAGTTTGCTGCCTTTTCTCCAAGCACTTACTTTGAAATATCTTTTGCAGATGGTCTAATTAAATTTTCTGCCATTGTATTTGCCTGTAAGATCTTATAATTTGATAACTTTCTTGAAATGATGCCTCAAGGGCCATTTTGCTATCATTATTTGAAGCTGACGGGGGAAAAAAGCCAATATACTTTCTATTATCTGCTAATTTTCTTTTAAAATATTCAACAAGTTTATCCTTGTGGGTTAAATGTTTTGCACCAAGATGTCTACAAAGAAGTGATGATTTTAAATTGCTGTTGCCAGGAATTTTGATACACATTAAACTAATTGTTTGGGTCTCTGATTTCTTCCCTAGTAAAATAAAAACCCATTTGTAAATAGTTGCTGACTTATTTTTGCTTTTTCCTTTTCTTCTCACCATGTCCAGCAATTTTTTGTTTTTAGTCAGATGAGATGGTAGTTCACTACTGCTTTCAGTAGCATCCCCCCCTATAGTGTTTTGAAATCAGGTGCTGAAATTGAAGAATGAACAACTGACTGTTGTCCAGCATTTTGTTAGACTTGACTAAATGACCCGTTTTTAAACCATCTACAAAATTGAAGTATAATAATTATTAAAAGTTATTTACATGAGAAGAACTTTTGAAAACAAAGCTACCATAACTTACTGCCAATCACAGAAGGTTTACATGCATGTCTGTTAATGTGAATGTGCTCTTCCAGTTGTGAACAAGCATCTACCTCTAAAGTCTGCTTGCAACCAAATACACAAACCAATCATACTCATAGGCTTTTGCTAGTGCCAAGTGTTAAAATGATTAAAGGGATTAAAGATATTTTTTTTTATTTCCAAATTGTTAACAGTGCAGTAAATATATGTATATAAATTTATTATTTTGTTGGGTTTTTTTTACATTAGCAATTTAACATTCTATCATTACAGTACTTATTTGCAAGATCTCCCTTTACAATTTATATACCACTGATTGAGACCAATGATCTAATTAAATTGCTTCTTTAAATGCTGTTTATTTATTTATTTATTTTTTTTTTTTTCCAGAGTGAAGCAGATAGAGTACTTATATATTTAACCTTATATATCACAGAATGTTTAAAAAGGCTCCAAAGAGTAAGTTATATTAATGTTATCTTAAAATTATGCATTTCTAAATTTTTTCTGAATGTGATCTTTTGAGTGTTAATGTTTGTAATCAAAACTGAATTGGAGCAATTGGTAGTTCATTTACCTGTTTAGATCAGTGGTCTCAAAATCAGATTGAGCGTGGGCTGTATGCGCAATCTGAAAACATCTGACGAAACAATTTTTATTAAAAAATAAATTTTTATTAATAAAATAAAAATATTAAATGCTTAGACATTTAACTAATCTTAACATGTTTAATTAAGCATTAAATAATTTAAATTAAATTGAAAATAAGCAAAATAATAAACCTTTGTATTTTTTCAGAGAAAATTCACCAAATGGAACAAAACTCGAGAATAAATCTCTTTCTGTTATTAAATTTTTCTTCAGCGCATAAATAAAAATACATATGTTTGTATGTGAATAATTATAAACTACTTTATTTTTTACTACAGCTTGATAACTAATGGTTTTTTGCTGGTGATAAATTTTGTAGTGTGGGAGAGAAATGCCTCCAAATAATTTTCATGTGAATTGTAGATGCTCAGTGATCAATCAGGTTCTTTTCTTATTAATTTTCAACTCGGAAAAAATGTTTTCCTGTATAATTTTTTTCCAAACAAAGCAGTTATTCTTAGTGCAATAATTTATAACTGAGCTTGTTTATTTTTGACAAGTACAAAGAAAAGTTAATCAAGTTATCTTCAAATCTTTGAACAAGATTTAGATCGCATGTAAAATGTTTTCATGGGCCTCATAAAATTGCTTCAGAGGCTGCCAGTTTGAGGCCATTGCTCTAGATCATCTACATCTGCAACAATAAACTCTCAAAATAATAATCTAGAAAATGCTTAGTAGTCATTAAAAACATTATGAATAATATCAACAGCATAAGTTAACAATCACAGGATTATTTACATTGAAGCAATAATTTTCTTTGGCAGTGGAGATCAACTTTTGAATATATATATGTGTGTGTGTAAAATATAAAATATCTATCTTTCAAATAATAATAATAGGTCTTTAACACCCATCTTCATTCTAAAAAAATTAACAACATTTCTGGACTGCATAATTTCTAGATTAATCAATGCCACGAAGCTTGCATAACGCTGATGATGTACTAATTGGGAACCTGAACTCTGAGAGCTGAAACTTTAACTTGAACCAAAACCTTCCTCTTCGTGTGCTTCCATGTTGGATAACTACGCACTTCAGCTTCTCTGTCTATGCTGTGTGGGTTATTTCGCTGTTCTTGTTTCTTATCACAACAGTATCAAAAATGTAAATTTTCTTGAATAGTTGTTACTAGAGTGTCAATTGATTGTGGCCACAAGTTTCAGTTGGAAATAAAAATGAAATTAAAACTGCCTATTCTTTGTTCGAAGTATCAAGTATCTTCGCAATCAGCATTTCTATGATTCTACATCATACGGTTCCTATATCAGTGCTTCTCTGAAATTTGCTTTTATTATATACATGATTGATATATGGTTAATTTTTTGAAAAATGTGTAACCATCTACATACCAAATTAATGACAAACCATTCAGACTTGTGATTTTTGTATGAATAAGTGACAAAGTGGAAGGGAGTATTAAATCAACATATTTTATTAACAATATTATTAATTAAAAAGTAGCAGAAAAATACTGGTTAAATTTTATCTTCTTTTCATCAATCAGAAGTCTGTGTATGCATATCTCTAACCTGGCATTCACAGTTTGTGTGTACATACCTGCCAACTTTTACGAATTTTTCGTAATTTTTACGAAAATGCGTTTGTCTTTACGATTTTATGATAGTAATCCATTTTTTACGATTTTTTTCCTTTTTCAAGTGTTTTTAGTGATTTTTGTCGAAATTTTAGAATTTTTCGCCAATTCAGCGATTTTCGCCAATTGCATCGTGTTTTACCGCCAGCCAACTACCGACTACTTCGAATCCAGTAACCTGTGGTTTCTCCCAACTCGCCGCTTATAACCAGCCAATCCAATGCGCTGAACTTGTTTCTTCCCACTCTTTTCTTTGTGGGCGCCAGATTATTTTTTTCGCGTTTGCTTCAGCAGCAAGGGAATTACTCAGCGAGCGTGGATTGTCGCATTCTGTTTTTTTTTTTTTTTTTTTTTTTTTTTTTTTTTTTTTTTTTTTTTTTTTTTTTTTTTTTTTTTTTTTTTTTTTTTCTTTTTTGGGGGGGGGGCTTGCACGTGCTACGAATTTTCTTAATACGTCGTTGTTACGAAATGAGTTCAAAAAAACCGTATTCTCAATATTTTCGGCCTGCCACAAAGCCGAATTTCCAACAATTAAAGAATCCTTCAAAGGAAATAACTATGCATTTTGCAACGTGTGTGCGTGTGCCTTCATAATAAGTCACGGTGGAAGAAGCGACATTGTGAAGCATGTTAAGTCTAAAAATCATGAAGTTAATGCTTCGGCTTCGACAACGTCAAAGAAAGTGGATGATTTTTTTTTCAAATTCGGCTACGAATTCGGATGCCGATGTCATTTTGGCAGAGTGTTTGTTTACTGCATTCCTCATCGAACACAACATGCCGCTAAGCGCTGCCGATCACGCCGGTCAACTTTTCAGATGGATGTTTCATCTTTTGACAAATTGAAAATTCATCTTTTGAAAAGATTCGTTTTTTTTATTGATAAATTTCCATTTTTGTTAACAATTAAAGAAAATGAATGCCATAATGATGCTTTAGATGAACTACAGAACCAATTTTCTGCTGCACAGTTTGAAGACTTTGCCAGTTCTGGAGAAGATAGACTTGATGTCCTCGTTGGTACCTTAAAAAGAATAAAAAGAGCTGATGGAACACCAAAATATGATAGACTAGCAAGAGTTTTATGTGCTATTCTCGTAATTCCACACAGTAATGCTGAGTGCGAGTGAGTCTTCAGTGTTGTAAAGAAAAACAAAACTATGTTTCGTTCTTCAATTTCACCAAAAACTCTAGAAAACATTTTAATTGCTAAATGTTATGAGGAAACTAATTGTTATGACAGGAAATTTTCCAAAGAATTTTTGGCTAAAGCCAAAAAATGCACTCTAAATTCATTGCAATAGTTTTTTTGTGTAACATTAAGTTCTTGTTTTATGTTTCCTAATAAATTTTTTATTACTACTTAACTGAGATTTACTAATGTAAGTACAATTTTCTTTTTTCTATTTGTATAAATTGTTATTTTTTCAATATCAAAGCATGATATTAATTTTTCGTGTTCTTCTGAATTTTGGAGAAATCTTCTGAATTTTTATTTTTAGAGGTTGGCAGGTATGTGTGTATGCAGGTGAAGATGAAGGAATAATGTTTAGTCTTCACAATCTTTAAATATGAAAAAGGTCTTCACTTAAGTGTATAGATCCTAAACAGGAATATATATATTCACTGCATGTGGTGATATTAAGATATTTTTCTTGACTGATGGATTTTCAAAAATCTTCATGTTCTCTGAAAGATTAGACCACTTTGTAAATGTATAATTTCATTTTCTAAATCCTTTTTATATTTCCATTATTTTAAATGTGTCAGGAATTTTTGTGGCAATATAAGGTATTTCAATCCTTTTTAAAAGGGAAAGATGGATATTGTACAAATAACCTTTTGAAAATCATGAAATCCAACCTCCAAGTTTTCAGTCAACTTTTCAATTTCTATAGTTTATTTTCAGCATCATGGGTATAATTTTAATGTTTTATTTGCAATCAGACATATCTGGAAAGTGCATCAAATTGTTTAGATAATAAAGCACAATAAATTCTATTTTATATGTATAAATACTGATAATTTCAATTAATGTCTTTTTTCCCTCTCTTGGAATTCTAAATTTAAATCCCATAATGTTGACATAAAATCTATTGAAAATGCTAAATCTCTCAGCTAAGTTTCATCATTTAAATTTGCATCTTCTTGATTTTGCTGTTCAAGAAAACTTTTTTATCCATTAATAAATTATGAAATTGTTTCAGAAATTTACTTCTTGGCCACCTTACATCAGTATGTAATAATAATCATGGCTGTCTTTTACCAAGTTGCAATTGAAAGACACACCATTTGAGAGAATATCCTCAAATGGAACTAGCAATTTTAAATGTGTCCATTATTTCTTTGTACTTAATCATTTGCTGATGACATTTATTGGTGAATTATGTAGTGATAACTCAAAAAATATAGAAATCCATCATTATTTAACTTGCTTTTATAAATTAAACAACAAAAAGACAGAAAATATTGATAAATACCAAAACTTAAAAAATAAAGTTATTTTTTTATATTTATAAATTAAAATACTTAACAGATGAATAAAAGGCTGACTGCACCCCCCCCCCCCGAGAATCCCGAATCCCAAATTTTGGAGCTTATTGTAAGAACTTTACAAATAGAACTTTATGTACAGGATCAGCATTTAGGGAAATAGTACCCATAAGTTTTTTTCAAATAATTCCTGTACATTTCAATGTATTAACTCTCTTAGATGAAGTAATTTACACATAAATTCATGTGCATTTTTTCTTACCATTATTCCTATTAGTGAAGTTAAACAGGTGTGAAAATGTTTTTGCAGTGTTCAAATAAGAATCAAGGTCTTCAAGAGACATACAGCTTAGCTATAGCCAAATTCGATATTCCTGGTGATCCTGGATTTCCTCTTAATGCAGTGTATGCCAAACCAACCTCTCCTGCAGATGCTGGTAAGTAGTTCGGAAGAGGGGGTAAGAATTATATGAGCTTTATAAGAATAGTACAGTGGTATCTCACTGTTGTTATTGTGGTCTGAATGTAGCTCAAATTGCAGATTTTTTACTTTCTGAGATCCAGAATTTCAGGATTTATGAAATGAAGACTCATTATTTTTCTCAAATTTTGTTTTAGAACAGTTGTATTATTCAGAGATTTTAAAGTTTAAACTTTTAGATGTGTAAAGTTCAGTGAGACTGAGTATGCTCAGATAAGAAATATATCTTACACAGAAAAGTGTTTTTTGCTGTTTGTATTATACAGACACAGGGGAGAAAAAACTGATTTTATGAAGAAGTATTCAGGCTAAAAGAAGATGGCAAATAAATAGATTAAATGTATTTAACTTGCTTTAATAGACCCATTGTTACAACTTCATTTATTTATGTGAATGGTGTTATTACAGAATGTTAAACATCCTTTAGTACTGATAGCCTAGATGCTGCTCCAACTGCAAAATATTATTTATTCACATTGCACAAAAATACAGAAAATCCCTCTGGAGATCTTGTTTGTGAAGGTACCAGTGAATGAATAATAACTGAACGGCTTATTAAAAATTCTTTATAGTTCATGAACCCTTCTCTTGCATCTGGCGGTTTTTTTATCTGCAACATCTGTAAATATTTATAAAAAATTCAAATTCTGATCTAATAAGTGAAAATCAAATGCCTACTTCAAAATGTTTACTGATCTACTAAAGTTTCAGTTTTCAATATATATATATATATTATTGTTACATGTGTACTGGTTCATAATGATTGAATTCACACAGAGCCGAGGCTAGCTTGGTAAAATTTATTTTCACAAAAGAAACTCTTTACAGTTCTGGAACTTTCCACAGAAATACTCAGCTCTTCTTGGTATGACAAAGCACAATCAGTAGTTATTACTTCAACCTACTAGGAACATTAAACACAATGCAGCGTAAAGTGCGTGTAAGGAGCAAAGCTTGCACAAAGCTGTCTCAATATTCTGAAGTCAACTCTGAACTGAAAATAGAAACTCTTGTCAATCTTATATAGTTTTCTCCCATCTGCCAAGAGATTTCCAGTATCTTCTGTTTCTCGGAATTGCTGGAATGCATATACAGTTACGTAGGTATTTGGGCCACTTACATTTATATAGAGACTGCACCAAAATTTAACGAAATGATCGCCAGGTTTTGGGAGTTTATGGCCAAATGTGATGACAAAAATTAGTCGCCAAAACCATCGACAGCTTCATGCTATCTTCTTCAATGTTAAATATACCTGCCTGTCTAATCTTATTTTTCTGACAGAGCTTTTCTTTCTTAAGGCATTTCATGTTACATCATACAAGAGCTACTGTGATTTACGTATAAACTAAACTCCTCCTCTCTTACTCAGAAAAAAAAAAGTATGCTAAACTTTTCAACTATTTTATAAAAATTAAAATGATAAGCAGTTGTGTGAAATGATTAGTCAAAACATTTTTAATGAATTTCAAATGTTTTTAAAATTAAAAATTAAATTTTTAATAAATTAAGAAATGTAAATAATTTTCACTGTTTCAAAATTTATTTAAACTTATTTATTTAAAATACATATATATTTCGTCCATAAAATTATTTGAAAATAGGTTTGTATTCTTGTATGTATTTCACATTAATATCTGAATTATTTAAAATATCACAATAGTTTTCAGGATTTTTGAGAAAGGATTGCAATCTCGCAATCACCCCTGTATCTCAGTGTACATCATTAATCCATTCTAGATTCTTGGACATATACCAAATGAACTTTTCCAATAAGAAATAGAGAGAAAATAGTTAATCTTTTCTTATAAAAATATTATTATAACAATGTTTAATACTAAAACAAAAATGTGGTGTTTGATATTAAAATAACAAAATGAAAATGTACGTAAATGAAGCACTGCACATAAATGTTTTTCTGTTGCTGGATCAAAAGCAGTTTTTCAACATGCTCTAACTTTTGTTATCTTTATTTTATATTTATTGGCTAATCAATTTCATCCCCTTTGCAATGTTAGCTGATGGAATAGCATCTTTGTTTTTCACAATCTCTGACACCATCATATTTCGCATACCCAATAGCCAAGTCCCAGATACACGTGTTATCTTATATATAGTAGCATAAGTATTAAGAGATATTCATACTTTTTAACAATCCTCTTTTTTTCACCTTCATAGCGATCATAATGTTTTTTTTGGGGGGGGGACTTTTCTCATTAACTTTCTAGAAACTCATCAAAATTATTAAATTAATAAAAAAATTAATGAATTTACAAAAAAATATGTGTAAAAACACAAAATCACTAGAAACAGTTATATTGGGTTGAAAAACTGAGTAATGGCCGTTTTTTAATTTTTATTTTAGCAAAACAAAAAAACAATAAATTAATCAAAAAATATTGGACTTTATGGACTTTCTCCCCATAGATCTAAAATGTCCAACTATAGTCATTTGGCTACAACCCATTCGTTCAGCAAAGTCTCGAGTGATTTGATGCCTGTCTTCATGTAGAACTTGATACAAACGCTCTTCATCAAACTCATTTGGTCATCCGAAACAATCAGCGTCTTGGAGGTCAAAATTTCCATATTTGAATTTAGCAAACTAATTTCTTGCAGTTCATTCAGGCATTCCACCTTCTCCATACACTTTACAAATCTCTCAGGCAGCTTCTGCAGCATTGGTGCCTCGATTAAACGCAAAATGAAGAAGGTGTCTAAAATGCTTATTTTTGTCAACTTGACACTCCATTTTAATGATCTAAAAAATTTAAAAAATTAGCTCAAACAAAAAAATCAAATACGTCATCTTGTAGAGGGAAAGATTCTCTTTCGAATAACACAAAACACTATGCCAATAAATTTTATTTTTACCGCGTAACTTTAAACACAACATAAATGAACATTACTTATGTTTCAACCCAATAGCATGGGTTGCTTTACTGAATAATAGCAGCAGATGTACTGATGCTCATGGGCTCATAACATTGTCTCAAAAGAAGTAAATGATTGTAGTGTGCTAACAAGTGGCTCATCAAACTCATGTCATATTCGAAACAAATGAATAATTTTTTTGTAAATAATAATATAACAGTAATAAACAGTTTGCAAATAATAATATAATATAACAGTAATAAATCTTTTGTGTCAAAACAGCGCATATGCGAAATTGAACATATGCTGAGGTACCATTGTATATTAGAAGTCAAACAACAAAAATCAGCGTTATATTTTCAAATTTTCACAGGACTAGTTTCGCTGGTTTTACCAAATCACCATCCTCAGCTCAAAATTATTTGTTCGGTGTGTTATTGTGTTTTAATTATAGAAGCCCCAAACAGGCTTATTTTTTACTTTCTTTTTTCTATTTGTTCGGCATGTTATTGTATCTTAACCATAGTATATTGTTTAATTTTATTTACTAAATGCAGTAAAAATTAACATGAAATTTGTCTCCAGAACTGTCTGTGGAAAAACGATTACCAAAAAGAAAAAAAAAGGGGTATTATTGTAACATAATGTATTTTATATACCATAATCTCTATATTTTTCTAAATTGGTCATAAAGAAAATCAACCGATGATCGATGGTAATGGTGTGCACCTTTGTGTGTCTATTCAGTTCTGTTTTAGCACCAGAAATTATATTAGTTTTAATTCATATTTTTTATCTGTTTCACTTTTCAAATAAAAGGATGTTACCACCAATCACAATGTGTTGTTTTTAAAGAAATAATACAAATAATACAGCAACATAAACAAAAGGATGTTGCCATGTATATGTAACATGTAATACATGTAATGTAAAAATTTGCCATATAAATAATATTGCGAATACAAACAAACAAAACAAAGAAAAGTTATTGTAACACTTGATCGGGAATTCAAAGAGAGGCTACTTTTAAATATTTTGTGATTTTGCTGTTGAATGTTATGTGGCGTAAATACTAAAAAAAAAAAAAAAGTTAACACTTGATCGGGAATTCAAAGAGAGGCTACTTTTAAAGATTTTGCTGTTGAATGTTATGTGGCGTAAGTGCTACCAAAAAAAAAAAAAAAAAGTTTTACCTTACTGTGAAAACTGAGCATTGACAGAGTGAATGGAGGGGGGAACAAAAGTTAATTACAACACTTAGTATTGTATCAAGGACTTTAAAATAGGCTGCTGTTAAAAATTTTATAATTTTTCTGTTGAATTTTATCTGGCATAAATCCAGAGAAAGCAGTGTTTAGTATTTATGTTGTTATATTTATGTTTTTTTTTTTCCATGTAATCAATAAATCTGACTTGTAATTGCATATATCATCAATAAAAGTATTCTGGTTTTATCACTATTTTAATTGACTTTTTAATGAATGTATTACAAATATACAATTTAATTTTTACTATAAAGTAAACCAAGAGTGCAGCTGTAGAAAACTAATTTTCAAAATGTTATTTTTAAGTTAAAATTCATTCATAGCGTTATAGTCATATAAACTGTGGGATATAAGATATCTTCTTCCATTGATTACTAACAAAACATTTATGTTTTCTGCTGTATAGTTTTTGAAATGATTCTTATAGCTATTTACTCAAAACTGTTCAAAATGGAGTTATGCCACACTTTATGTGTGTATGCTTAACTGAAGAAATAAATGGGCCTAAATAGATTGTAATATCAATGAACATTTTTAATGACAGAGATTAACTTAAACATAGTTGCATACAGCAGAGAAAAAGGGCGAAGAAAAAAGAATAGTTTACATATACATACATACGTAATAAACAGTTACGTCATCATCTCCGCGCGGATAAACACGAACTGCGCATGCGTCAGGAGAAGCTCTCTTAAGCTAAACGTCGTATTATAATTTATGATACAAAAATCCCCCTTTCGACGTTTGGCGGCTGAAAAAAAAATAAACATTAATCATTTACAGTTATTCCAATTAATTTACAGCGTTTAGAATGTTTCGAAGCAGTCAATGTTTTTGTCAGTACATCAGCAGGCATTTTCTCTGTTGGCACATATTTAACATCTATTTCATTTCTTTCATAAATTTCATGAATGAAATGATGTCTAATATTTATGTGTTTAGTGCGTGAGTGATAAAAAGCATTTTTCATAAGCTTCTGTGCACCTTGATTATCACAATATATAATGGTTGGATAATCAGCAGTAAAATTTAATTCTTTAAGGAAACGACGTAAATAAACTGCTTCTTTGGCACTTTCTGAAAGACTGATGTACTCTGCTTCAGTACTTGATAATGCAACAGTTTGTTGCTTTCGTGATTCCCATGTTATTGGATTTCCAGCTAGCTTGAATAGGTAACCTGTATACGATTTTCTAGTATTAACATCAGACGTCCAGTCGGCATTGATTATTATATCCAATAAGTGCTTTTCCAGTCTTTCGAAATTTTAAACAATAATTTTTAGTTCCTTTTAAGTATCAAAGAACGCGCTTTGCAGCCAACCAGTGTAATTTTCCACGATTGTTATTAAATTGGCTCAGGTGACTGACGGCATATGTAATATCCGGCCTAGTAAACACAGAAAGATACATAAGCGAACCAATTAGACAGCGATAAGGTACATTGTTCATTTCTTCCTTTTCGGTTTCAGAAGGACACATTTCTTTACTTAATTTTACACTAGGATTTAAAGGAGTTGCTACTGGTTTTGCATCTTTCATATTAAACCTTCGTAGAATATTATCAACATATTTCTGCTGAGATAAACTAATAGAATTATTATTTACATCTTGATTAAATTCTATTCCAAGACAATAATGAAGTTTGCCTAAATCTTTAACATCCTAAACTCTTTAGAAAGATAACCTTTAAGTTCAGCATATAAATCACAGCTATTTGTTGCTATTATTAAGTCATCCACATATAAAATTAGAATTAACTCACCTTGAGATGTTTTCATCCTGTATACACACTTATCTGATTGTAATGGTTGTAATCCGAAGTTTTTGAGTTTTTTGTCTAATTTTTCATACCACTGTCGTCCACTTTGTTTCAAACCATAAAGAGACTTTTGCAAAGCATAAACATAATCAGGATTATTTTGGTCTTCAAAACCTTTAGCTTGTTCCATGAAAATTTCTTCTTTTAAATCACTGTTAACATAAGCCATAACAAAATCTAATTGATATAACATAAGGTCTTGTTCAGCACTGTTTGCAATCACCGTTCTTATAGAACTTGCTCTGGCTACTGGAGCAAAGGTTTCATTAAAATCAATTCCAGGTTCCTGTGAAAATCCTCTAGCAACCAATCGAGCTTTTCTCTTTTGAACTGTTCCATCTGCATTATATTTCGTTCTAAGAACCCAGCGACATCCTATTACCTTTTTGTTCTGTGGTCGCTTTACTAATTTCCATGCACCATTTTTAACAAGTGCTTCATACTCACTTTGCATAGCCTTATGCCATTCTTCAGCATAACTTCCATTTAATGCTTCTTCTAATGTCAGATTTGTATCTTCTTCAGCAATTTGTGCTTCTTCCTTTTCTATGTTTATATTGTGGTACTCCTTTTTTTGGTCTTCCTGGCTTCCCAGTCTTGACTTTCTTTGGACGACCTGGCCCCCTTTTAATCTGCATTTCAGGTATTGCTTCAGAATCAGAATCTTCATTATCAGATGATTCAGCAGATGCTTCTGCCATATTTGAGGGGTCTTCTGTTATTTCATCAGCCAATATCTGCTTTACATTCAGAGGTTCTTCCTTCTTTTTATCAGGAATATTTTCGAGAAATAAAACTTCTTAAATCTTTATCATAATTAGTACAGTTTTCAAATTCATGAATGAATCTAACATCTTGGCTTATAACGATTTTTCTGGAAATTTTTATTCCACAGCTTATATGCTTTCGATTCATTTGAGTATCCTACAAAGATACGTTCTTCTGATCGAGGATCGAAATTTCCCTTTAGACCTTTTATTAAGTAACGAAACATTTCTGTCCCGAATACTTTAAAGTGAGACACAGTTGGCTTGATGCCAAAAAATAACTCGTATGGTTGTTTTGTGTACTCCCAGGCTTCGATTCGGGCCAACGATTACGTATATTAACAGAACAATTCAAGGTCAATAGTGGAAAAAGGAAAGGAAAGGCTTCAGCCCAAAAAGGATTGGGGAAGATTACTTTTGTAGTAACAAACATCTGGCCATTTCAGTTAAAGTGCATTCATGCGTCCAGCTCTCGATTCTGTTGAGGAGTCATTGGTGCAGAGAATTCTCGTTTAATCCCGCATTCTTGAATATTTATTAAATTCTTCTCCGCGATAGTTCGAGACCGTTATCACTCCGAAGGATTTTTATTTTCTTTCCTAGACGATTTTCGACCGCAGCTTTGTATTTAATGAATGCATTTTTCACCTCGTCTTTAGTTTTAAGAAAACTGACTTCGAAATAATGCGATTTGTCGTCTATGAAAGTAACAAAATAACGCGAACCAGGCCTTAATGGGACTTCATAGGTCAACTAGATTTTGTAATGGCTTATGTTAATCGGAGATTTAGAAGAACATCACTTTTCATGGAACAAGCTTGAAAGGTTTTGAAAAGGTTGGCACAGATTGTTTACCTCGGATACAGACTTTGCAGTCTTTTAGAGATTCAGTATTATTAAAATTTAAATTTCTAACCATGTTATCAGACTTAAGTCTTTTCAAATCAGACTCATTTAAATGACCCAATTTAAGATGTCACTTTACAAAATCACTTACCTGTGCCATTGCAGCTGTTTCAGCACTTGGATGTATATAATAAAGATCACCATGACAAATAGCCTGCACTAGTATAGATCCATTTGGTTCTATTATTCTAGCATGTCGTTCTGTAAAAATCACTGAACGATTATTTGCAGTAGCTTTAGATGTTGACAGCAAATTACATTTTAATTCCGGAACACATAACACATTTTTGAGCGTAAGTTTGTCTTATTTCCATTAGGTACTGTTATAAGGACAGTTCCAATTCCCGTAATTTTTGCTGTTTTGTCAACTGCTAACTTTATGGTTGAATTCGTTCGAGGGTGAAATTCTGAAAATAACCTTCTGTCATTGCAGATGTGAGATGTACAGCCACTATCTAAGCACCATGAGGAGGTCTTCTGATAAGCATTGTTTACAGCTAAACTAATCTGCTCTTCATAATTAGAAGCCATCATTGAACCTTGATTTCCCATATTTGATTGTGCATATTTTCTATCAGCTATTTTCTTTCTGCATTCAGATGCCTTGTACCCAATTTTCGAGCAGTAATTACACTTCAAGTTTTGAAAATTTCTTTTAGCTGGAAAATTTGTGTTTGAATTTACCTTCCATTTTTCATTTTTCTTCTGTTCTTGATTTCTTCTTTTATAATCAGTATAGTATGCATTCTGTGAATCTTGAGACGTTTTCCCTTTTCTTGCTTCCCATTCTTAACATTTTGATTTTTCAAAGATTCGGACTAGGGTAACTGATTTCTTGATTCGATGGCGCATCTAAAATTTTCAAAATTTTCTGGAATACTATAGAGCAGAGAATCGATAATAAGTCATCAGCTATGTCAATTTCCATTGTTTAAGCTTATCAACTATTTTGAAGAAATTATTCAAATGTTCAGACATCGTTTCGCTTTCCACCATTTTTCTAAATAAAAGCTGTTTTAATAATGTAGCCTTCTTCGCAGGTCCTTTCGATTCATATACGGCTTTGAGTTTATTCCACACAGCATTTGATGTCACACAATGCTTTATATGACACAGTTCACTAGGATTAATAGCAAGAATTATATCTGCGCGAGCTTTTTGATCAGCTTGGAACCATTTCTTTTCGTCCTCGGTTCCTTCAGCAGGTTAGCGCTTTACCGGTCACATAATCCCAGTGGTCGTTTCTAATCAATACTGCTTCTATTTGTAATTTCCAACTGTCAAAATTATCTTTTCCGAGCTTTTCTATAGTAGTCAAATGCGACATAATGTAATACAGTCTCTCACAGCCAAAAAACAAGATTGAGCGCTATAAAAATAGGCTTAACTGAACGCTGATCAGTTCTTACCGTTGATTAGACGTAACAGTTCTTGCACTGAATTAGGCTTAAGAGTTCAATGCTCGAAAACTTCAAAATGTTCATTTTAAAATAAGTATTTTGCTAATTAGGCACAGTTGAAACATTCCTAGGCCCATAACCATTGAAGAAATAAATGGGCCTAAGTAGATTGTAATATCAATGAACATTTTTAATGACAGAGATTAACTTAAACATAGTTGCATACAGCAGAGAAAAAGGGCGAAGAAACAAGAATAGTTTACATATACATACATACGTAATAAACAGTTACGTCATCATCTCCGCGCGGATAAACACAAACTGCGCATGCGTCAGGAGAAGCTCTCTTAAGCTAAACGTGCACAGAAGCTTATGAAAAATGCTGTTTATCACTCACGCACTAAACACATAGATATTAGACATCATTTCATTCATGAAATTTATGAAAGAAATGAAATAGACGTTAAATATGTGCCAACAGAGAAAATGCCTGCTGATGTACTGACAAAAACATTGACTGCTTCGAACAACATATTAATTTCGACGCTAAAATTCATTCATAGCATTATAGTCATATAAACTGTGGGATATAAGATATCTTCTTCCATTGATTACTAACAAAACATTTATGTTTTCTGCTGTGTAGTTTTTGAAATGATTCTTATAGCTATTTACTCAAAACTCTTCAAAATGGAGTTATGCCACACTTTATGTGTGTATGCTTAACCCCTCATGCCTGTTTATTAAATTTTAGACACTATGAGGCAATATTTACAACAACTGAGGCAAGAATGTGGTCTTAGACTGTGTGAAAAAGTTTTTGACCCAGAAACAGGAAAACCAAGCAAGGTATGTTTTATGTTATTTAAAGTATGTTTACTCATTATTAAATTTTGGTAGTGATGCAGTGTGTGATCTATTGCATTTAGTTATTTGTTGATTTCTTAGATATTGCTAGTAAAATGATATTTTAAAATTTGAACAAGCAATAAAATGGCAGGATGAATGAATTAAATAAAAAAAAATTATTAAAACAGCAACCAATTTTAGTGCAACCATCTAAAACATAGATAACTAACTAAAAGTGCTAGATTGCTTACCTCCATCAAAGCCTAAATTTCTGAATACTTTTAATTTATGCATTTATTTTTTACGAGAAAAATATCAATTTTATTACTTTTACACATAGATTGAGTAAGTAATATAATTATAAAAAGTATTATTTTGTTTTATTCATGAAGGGAAATTTTGGAATTTTCTCTTTAGCTATAAATTTATTATTTTGTTTATTAAATTCCTTATAAATTTTATAATATATATTTACTATAAAGTAAACCAAGAGTGCAGCTATAGAAAACTAATTTTCAAATGTTATTTTTTTTTAAGTTAAAATTCATTCATAGCGTTATAGTCATATAAACTGTGGGATATAAGATATCTTCTTCCATTGATTACTAACAAAACATTTATGTTTCTGCTGTATAGTTTTTGAAATGATTCTTATAGCTATTTTTTTAATGTAAAGTTAAGTATATTTATTAACAAAATACTTTACAAAACAAAGTACTAAAATTTTTGAAGTGCAGTCAGAATTTAAATGTCTCATAAGAGTGTACCAAATGCAGGAAACTATTGTAAGGCCTTTGCTGTAGGAAAGTGTAATTTAAAGAATAGCAACTGAGATTCCTCCATTTGAGCTTTGTTCAGAACAAAACTGATGTGTCTCAAAGAGCAGGTTTACTGCATCTTCTTTGTAACATCCATTGTTGCCATCAGGCTGATTTTCAGCTGGACAAGGTAGTTTCTAGGTTCATGGATCAGATTAACTATTAAGTTGTTCAGTTTTTGAGATGATATGAAATTTTGATGAAATAAAATAAATCATATTTGTATTTTATTTTAATATAAATTTACTCCCACCCAAATTTACCCATTGGGATGGAGTGACAGAAAATGTAATTTTAAGTTTCTAACCTGCAAGTATTTTAAAGTGAATGTGACAGTTTCAGTTTAAAAATTCTTAATTTCACTTTTAATTATTCACTGTAAATAAACAAGTTCTGAATAAGTATATACATTATTTTATATGCAATAAATGTATAAATGAAATAAAATAAATAACCAAAAATGTAAAATTCATAATTTTGGTCTTGCTACTTAGTGATTGCTTTTATTTAATTTAGGTAATTATAGTTTTTACTATTAAATTTTGTATAAAGCAAAAGCAGACAAAGCAGGTTATAAGTTTTAAAATTAATAAATTTAATATTCGTAATAAATGTAAAATAATAAAAAAAATACTTTTTGTCTATAAATGAAAAAAAAAAAAAAAACTATTTTTATTTTCCTGAAACATTGTAAAATTTTAAAATATGTCGAATAATTGGATCAGCAATTTTGAAAAGGTGGCAATATTGGTAACAACTGAAATTGTGCAGCAGGTATTCTCACCAACAGGTGACATACTTATGAGTATGAATCATGTCATATACCCATCAGCTGCAGAAAAGATACATGAAGTGGACAATAGTTGCCAAGTACAGACTCGCAAACATAATGCATTTTTGAATTTGAAGTCATTTGTGATAAGCTGTATGCCTTGCAGATGCCATGTATAGTCATACAGCATTGACTATTACTTGTGTAGCATGATACAGAATACTTGTTTGATTGCTGACAAGTAATGTTGCGAAGTGCCGAATAGCTCATAATCCTCATGCTGTTACAGAAATATTGGTGTCAGAAAATGTCCAACAAATGACATATCTCCAAGATATGTCATTTAGCCAGGTGCATTACATAACAGTTGTTTAGCCTTTTGGAGCAACAAAAAATACATGGAACAAAATTCAAATTATTGAATATTAGTGTTTAAGGAAGTGGGCTAAAGAAACAGCTATTTCAGTGGCATCTCCAGTTTTCTATCCAGCACATTTCTTTTACTTCTGTTTTTAAATTTCAAACATAAACTTTATTGTGCATGACTGATGCAATACTTCTATATCCGAGTCTTACTCTATCATTATCGATTCAGTGGTGCATAGATCAGTTTTGCTTACAGCACTGTCACTCATCACATTAGCATGTCATAGAGTGTATCATTTATTCCTCTGTGATCAGCCAGCCAGCTTTCTTTTCATTGCCTGTGGAGAAGAAGAAAGAATTAGAGAAACCAGCAAGAGAGACATACAGTTAGTTGTTATGAAACTATATCATGTAGTAAAGAAAAAGTCATTATAAGGAAAAAAAATGTGCTAAAATTGCTTAATGTATTTTTTAAAATATATACATTTTTAATGCAGTAAGTGCAATATAAGAAAGTAAAATGCAAGAAAACGCAACCAAAAAAAAGCATGAAGAATGCAAAATTAAAACAGAAAAGAAGAAACAGGTTGAATATTTTTGAGCGAGGTGATTTCAGAATTAAATTATGCAGCTTTATGGAATAAATTGTATCAATACATAATTGCTAAATGTTGAAAAAATTGCATTAATACATCAAATGCAGCCATCCCATCAATTTAAATAGAAGTTTTATGCAATTAGAAGCTGTGATTTTGTTTCTTTATATTCGTAAAATTAAAAATAATAAAAAAATCATAAAACATAAATCTAATAAACCATTTTTCAAAATCATTGTATGTATTAATCAAATTAGTTATTTGTATTATAATTATATTATATATTGTATGTCAATGAAGAAAACCATTCCTTTAAATGTTGTACAATGCAAGAAAAATGTTGGTAATCCCTGACTTAAAAAACAAAATAAATCAGGAGTAAAATAAAGATGAGATCTTTTCAGATTAGGGTTCAAGAACTCTTGAATATGTAGCCATTTGAATTATCAGTAACAAATCCATCATTTACTTAGTAAATTGCTACTAAACCTGAGCTACCAAAAAAAAGCATTTTCTGCAGTTTGGAATGAGTTATCTTTTGTGTTAATGAGTGTGTTACTGTTTAAATTAAGTATAATGTTATATTTTTAGTGGTGGCTATGCTTCGCCAAAAGGAAATTCATGGATAAAAGTCTCTCTGGACCTGGCCAATAACACACACTTCTCTATAAATATAAAATTTTTAAACATTATTAAGAATGAGAATTATTAAATGGTATAGATTTAAATATTTCGTGTATAAAAGTACTTTCTAATTTTGTTTAATATTTTGTTTTATCATTCATTGAATTTGTAATATTTAATATATGTATAGAAAATCTGTAAAAAAAGAAGGAAAATATGAATATTTTATAAAATGTCTGCTAATTTGCATCTCATATTTGATGTAAAAATTCCATAAATCACATTTTCAATATTAAGAAGAAAAAACTGTTCTGTTATTTCAATTTTATATTATTCAAAATGCAAAATAAACTTTTTTTAGAATAAAGTTGAATTCTTTTAATTCAAGAATTCTCAAAGTATATATCATAAAACATGCACATTGATATATATACATAAAAAGACAGCTGTAAAACATGCTACATATATTGCAAGTATGTATATGTACATTCATTGAATTTGTAATATTTAATATATTCAATGAATTTGTAATATATACATATATTAAATAAGTTTATATTACAAATTACACTATTAATTATTAGCTATTAAATTATATATTATAAATTTAATATATGTACATATTACAAATTGCATATCCACCTCACAACTCTCGCTCCTGCATTTACTGGATGCTACGTGCATTCTTTCTTGGTGTTGCAATTTCACTTTTGAGGAATGTACATTTACTCCCAAACAAAGTGATTATTATTACGAGGGCCATCCAGGAAGTAGATTACGTTTCCGTCTGTGTCCGCTAGGGGCGGGGCTAGCGCGGCCATCTTGGGGTCAGAGCGTTGCGCAGCTCAGTCTGCATCTAGCCGTGCTAGTGAGAGGTTCGTGCTGTGCTCCGTTCAGATACTGTGACGGTTTGAAATGTCTGCGTTAATTGAAAATCCCGCGCGCTGCGAGGTGCGCTCAGTAATAAGGTTTCTGACTGCAAAAAACTGTAAACCGATAGAAATCTATCGGCAGCTTCGTGAAGTGTATGGGGACAACATTATCACTGAAGGTGGAGTGCGTCAGTGGGTCATAAGATTTCAAAATGGCCGAACCAATGTTCACGACGAAGATCGAAGTGGGAGACCCAGCATAGTGACCGCCGAACTTCTCGAAAAAGTCGATGCTAAAGTCCGTGAAAATCGAAATTTCACAATAACGGAACTTTCTTTGAGTTTTCCACAAATTTCGCGAAGTTTGTTGCACGAAATCATCAGCGAAAAGCTTGGTTACCACAAGTTTTGTGCAAGATGGATTCCAAAAATCTTGACAGAGGACCACAAAAATCAGCGAATGGCTGCAGCGTTGAACTTTTTGGACGCTTACCATAAGGATGGTGACTCTTTACTCGATCGCATCGTTACTGGTGACGAAACATGGGTGAAACATGTGAACTGTGAAACGAAATTGCAATCAATGCAGTGGGGGCACACAAGTTCTCCCCAAAAACCCAAGAAATGCATGCAAACAATGTCGGCAAGGAAGATGATGGCGACTGTTTTTTGGGACAGAAAAGGTGTAATTTTGGTGGACTTCCTGGAAAGAGGCACTACAATAAACTCTCAAAGGTATTGCCAAACTCTCCAAAAACTCAGAAGAGCAATTCAAAACAAGCGCAGAGGAATGTTGAGCTCTAAGATCTTGTTGATTCACGACAACGCCCGGCCCCACACGGCAAATGTCACTCGTAAAGTTCTTGAATCTTTTAAGTGGGAGTTGTTTCCTCATCCGCCGTACAGTCCCGACCTGGCACCGAGCGACTTCCACCTATTCCCAGCAATGAAGAAGTGGCTGGCTATGCAGCGTTTTGATGACGACGCACAGCTGCAAGAAGAGGTAACGAAGTGGTTGAAGGCGCAGGCGGCCGAATTTTTCGACGAAGGAATTTCCAAGCTCGTACATCGCTACGATAAATGCCTTAATTTGTATGGTGACTATGTAGAAAAGTAGTATTTGAGTGTGGCTTTCATCTGTATATAATAAAATTTGTTTCCTATACTTTGTTTATTTTTTTATTCCAAAACGTAATCTACTTTCTGGATAGCCCTCGTATTACAAAAATTCGCAGTGGTGGGTTTCTACCCTTTGACAAGTATGAATAAAAGTTAATCAAGTCTTTATAAAAATTAGGCCAAGCAACAACGGGAGCAAAAAAATCTGCAACGAAGCAAAAGCAATAGTTGTATTAATACCCAAAAGAACTAAGGGGAACGAAAAGGTAGCACCATTCATCAGTAGAAAAAGTAACGAAAATTGAAAAAAATATGTTCATAGAATTTTAAAAACATTAGGAAGGACTGGGAATTAGTCATTAATTAAACAAGATAAATCTTTGTGAATGTGAAAAGCTTCAAGAAAATCCATTTAACAATTAGAAGTTTTTTGGATAATTTCTGCAGATCTAAAGTCAAAATTCTAATTAAATTGCCATCTATGATTAGCTATCGAAGACCTGTTAATTGCATCTTTTTAGACAAAGATTAGTGTTCCTTTACAAGAAACTTTAATGCTCTTTTAGTTTGGTTGATACATCCCAAACTACACTGATAAGATATACGAGGGCTATCCAGAAAGTGATCGTTTGGAATAAAAAATAAACAAAGTATAGGAACAATTTATTATATACAGATGAAAGCCACACTCAAATACTACTTTTCTACATAGTCACCAACATTAAGGCTTTATCGAGCGAAGTACGAGCTTGGAAATTCCTTCGTCAAAATTCGGCCCGCCTGCGCCTTCAACCACTTCGTTACCTCTTCTTGCCTTCCATCTTTCACAACTTGTGGTAACCAAGCTTTTCGCTGATACTTCGTGCAACAAACTTGCTAAATTTGTGGAAACTCAAGAAAGTCCTTATTGTGAAATTTCATTTTCACGGACTTGCATCGACTTTTTCGAGAAGTTCTCGGTCACTATGCTGGTCCTCCACTTCGATCTTCGTCGTGAACATTTTTTCGAGCCATTTTGAATCTTATGACCCTGACCACTCCCCCTTCAGTTAGTTTTTTCCCCATTTTTCCGAGCTGGCCGATTCTTTCTATCGGTTACAATTTTTTTGCAGTCAGAAACCTTATTTACTGCTCGCTCTCAATTTTCAATATAACCCTGCATTCATCTTATTTTCACATTACCCGCCACGTGCACTTCTGCGCACGCTCTGCCCCTATCGGCCTGCCCCTCGGCCCGCTCACCTTAATAAATCTCTTCCTCCCCTAGACTGTCCTTCTTTCGCACCTCTTCCCAGGTCGCCTAGCCCTCTGCACACCACTTTCCTAGCTTCCCCCTACTTCTTCATCTCCCTAATCCATAGAAAGCCACAGGCTTTCTTCACAGAATGTTTAGTCGACCCTTTATTTGCTGATATATGAATTAAATCCTCGTATCTTCAAATCTTGGAGTAAAAATCTTTTAGTGTTTCTTAGCTGGCATTTTTGTATAAAGCAACCATTTGAAATAAGTGTGCTAAGAATTCCACTTTCTTTATTTTTTTTTAAGTTTTATTTTATAAAGCAAAAATTTGAGTAGTGCTTCTTTATTTATTTATTTTAAGTTTTTATTCTTGAATTTTTCCTTTTGCTATATTTGCAGGTGTATTTTATTATTTTAATTTCAGAACATATGCTGTTTTTCTTTAGTTTTTCAAATACATAAACCAATGAACAAATCTCCCCGTTCTTCTAAAATCTTCCTCACTTATTATTTTACTATTTTATACCAGTAAAAGAACTTGACACTTGGATCGGAATGATAATTTTGTTTCTACTTTATTTACATTAATGTGATCCATGCAATTTTAATAAACCATTTCAGCACATCAATAGTCGAGTTGATTAAACTTGCTGAATACTGGGAATTCAGTCTGTGTTTCATCCGAAGCTAATAAGCTGGCTGCATGGTTGGTTCTCACTGTGTGTAATGTGATAATGAGCCAGTTCCCCTTAGAATGTCCTCCACAAAGCTTTCCCTTCCCTTAAGTTAGATAGCTTTTGCTATATTCAATAACCAACCTAACAAACCATTTTGACTCTTTTAAAGCAAAAGTATACATTTTTTTATTAAAATTTATAGTTCAAATATTGCAATATATGCAGGGTTCGTACACATTTCTGCACATGGAAATTAAGTACTTTTAAGGATCATTAATGAAAAAAGTTAAGTACCTATCAGTAAATGGGAGCTGAATAAATTCAATCAACTTATGTCTAAAATCCATTTTTGTAATAATCCTCTAAGAATAAAATAAATCTGTAAATAGGATACATTCTTATTAAACATAACCATAAAACAAATTTGAGAATTAAATCCACTTTATAAAATTTATCAGGTATCATTAAATATTTTACACGTATAATAGTTGGACGTAGTTTGAAAGAAGATTATAAATAGTAGGTAGATTTTATGTCAAATGTAGTTTTAATGAGAAATAAAATCAAATCAGCAATGATTTGTAATAGAAGATTGGCTGTTGCCAGTGCTGCTGCTTGCCTAGAGAGAGATCTGTTGATCAGAACAAACCTGAAAGCCTGATGTAGTTTTGAAAGTTAGTTGTGCTCCATCTGTCTGATGATTAAAAACATTTTTGATATGTTCCATACATAGAAAAAACGAAATAATTTTGAAATACTTATGTTTGAAATATTTATTGCTAAAAAACTCCAGTATCTCACTTTTTACATTAGAAATAGGAATAAGTTATAACCCATTCAAAAGATTATCATATTTGTCAGTGAATTGTTAAAAATATTCCTCCATAATGATAATTCACATTCAAAACAGCAATCGTAAAAACAAGACAGAAATTTTAGATGATTAAAATTAATGACTTAAAGACTAAAAATCGATTCTTAAAAAAAACCTAAGGACTTTTAAGGACTGTACGAACTCTGTATATGGTGTATTCTGTCATGTATAAGCCACATGGAAAAAAAAAAAAAAGGCAGTTGAAAATTGAGGATGTGATTTATGCACATGAATAATTAGAAATAAGTTCCTTGAGGCCTAACTTTCATACTCCAGCTCTTGAGGTTGAATGCTCCTTTTAAAGGTCATTCTTAAACTCTGTAATGGTTTGATGACCATATGAAACCATGACCTTACACCAAAAAGAAAAATCAAACGTCTGAAGAATGTAGTGCATATGTGTGTAAATTCTGGCAGACTGGGAAAAGTGTCAAGCCTGAAACAATCATTAAAAAATATTTCAAGTTGGAAATATCCAGTGCTGTAAACAGTTCATAGGCTGAAATGCATGATTTTTACCAGTGATAGTAATACTGATAATGCAAGTATTTACTTTAGTGTACCAAATAGAAACGATGGACAAGAGGTGTTAATACAGAAACATGTTCCTTTTGACCAATAATAAAAGTTTTGCCTAAGTGTGTGATAAGTACTGTTTTAATTTTTGCTGCTATCACACACCAAAAATGACGAAAAGGTCCAAAGCAAAGTTAAGTTCTGCTCATTAGTCAACGTCAGTTCACTCAGAGAATTTTTTAAAAAATTATATTTAATTCCAGAAACTGTGCAAATAAATTAATACTAGACATTGGTGAAATAATTTTATTAAAAACACCAATAATCTAAATATTAAACTATTAGGAAACCCAGTCATATATATATATATATACAAAAACAAAATGGCAGTCTGCAATTTAACAATAAATTATTAGAAATTATGCAAAATATCTTGCAATAAATTATAACTATATATTAAAGAAACAGGACCTTATCTTGCTTACAGTTAAAAGTCATGTAACAAATTTAAAACATAAGGCAAGACAAAAGATCCAAGGAACAATATATGTATCAATAAATAACATGTAAGATATATATTACAACTTTATAATGTATGATGAGAATGGAATTACAAATTCAATATATGCATATATATTAACATGTACATGACTAGAGTACATATAATATACATAGTAATAAAAGAAGTCTCGATAATTTTACTAAACAAGTACATTCAAAGATTCCATATCACAGTCATTTTTCCAACTAATATTCTAGTCGAGAAACGTTATGCACTTTAAATGTCTAATTATTATTAAATGTGCATTCTCTTAGCTTTGTACATCTGATAATGTGCTGGACCCAGAGAGTCTGTCAATATTAATCAAACTAGGTTTACGTTTATGTGAACTAACTCCTTCTCCTTTGTCAGTACTTTGAGAACCACCACTGATGTACGACTGAGAGATTTCTGTGCCGGGATATTTTCTTTTGATGGCTTGTTTTAGATTACATAAATTATCTAAAGCAGTCTTGTACATCTTTTCATCGGTGGTCGAGTTTTTCGAACCATCGTACTGTTTCAGGCAGTCGTTGCTGGTGCAGACTGCATTTTCATCATTAAATTCTTCACAGAAGTCGATCATTTTTCCTTCACGGAAAAGCAAGCTGTTGCAGTTCTCTGCATCATTGAACTGATTGTTTTCATCATCTGATAATGAATACACATCATCAGTAGAAGAATGACCTAATTCATAATTTCGGTTAGGAAAGGGATCACTCATGCGGCGATGGCTGACGACCTTGCTCCATGTAGCCAGTTTGGACAGACTCGTACGCCCAGACGCACTTTTACTCCACCGAGGAAAAGGACATGGACTGTTTTCAATACCTTCCATTTCCGTCTTTTTGGATGTTTTTGGTGCAAAATATTCTGGTAAAAGATTAGAACATGACTGCAATGGACTACTTGTATGTCTATCACTTTCTGTATGACTGCTACAACCTTCACCATCAAACAATTTTGAAGATAACTGAAGATAGCCTATAAAGATACAATAAATGTTTTAAAAATGGAGTACAGAATAAAAAGAATTTAATATTCATGTAGTAGGATTAACAGTTTTTAGTTTGTTATTTCTTAAATGGTGCCACTATAACACTATTTTTAAATTAGAGCGTGTGATAAAATGGCAAAAAAAATTATTAGAACAACAATCAATTTTAGTGTTGACGTCTAGAAAAAAAAATAAAAGTAGTAGCTTGCTAGGAAAAAGCAGAAATTGAAAAATGGCCCACAGTTTCAATACTTAGTACTCATAAGAGTTGTCATATAGACAAAATATGCAAAGAAAGGTTATACCAGAGGCAACTGCGACCCCATACTGAAAATTGACGGAGTAAAAATGTAAACACCCTTAAATAATTCACAATATTAATATTATACACATATTTTCAATTTCATTGGCAAAGCAACTGATATAATTTTTTACAACTTAGTAAAAATAATTTAATTTTATAATATCATTTCAGTTACCTTTTTTTTTTTTTTTTTTTTTTTGTTCGATTTCTCACCATTTTTGCAAATAATTTCACAGTGTAAATTTGTTTTTCTTTTCGGAGGGCATTTATATTTTTCTTTGCTAACAGTTTAAGGTTCAGCAAGACCTTTTAATGCTAACAGTATCTTTTCACTTAAACTGTTATGTATTAGATTAGAGTTTGAAATATGCATGAATGCATATCAGCAGGTGTCTGAGATGAACTGCTAGACAGAACAGAATGGAATGGAATGTAGAGAATTTTTGAAGTTGTCCAGTTAAATTATTATCCCTAAAATTTTTACCAACACCCCCTTTAGAGGGATTTTTCAGTCTCAAAAACTTCATATGTATTTTTTGGTAACGAGAAAAAATAATAATTTATAGTCTCTTCAGCCAGACTATCAGTGCTGAAGCATGTTCAGTATTCCATCAGATCACCCATATGATAAAATAAATTTTCAAACAGCAAACAGATTTAGCCAGTTTTGTACATGAGTATTTCCAGTAGCCAGTTTTGTACATGGGTATTTCTGTTTTCCATCTTCTCTCAACCAAAAAGTTTATAGTATTATTTTTTTTCTGTTTCTGTACAAGTGTTGACAGATATCTAGAGTTTAGCGTTTACATAGTCTAGGAGTTTATATAACCTCAAACTGATATATTTTATCTAAAAATGAGAAAAATGACGTGAACATTTCACAAACCCAGAAATTCTGGATTTAAGAAAGTACAAAAATCTGAACCTTATCACCCCTGCCTATACTTTGCAAAACTGCATATTATCATTTGAGAGAGAGAGAGAGAAGTCTTGGTTTACATTTCAGATGAAAAATTTATTTTGCTCAAGAATTAATGGACAAATTTTCAATATAATTGAAATTCAAGCAACTCAAAATGGTCTGCACAGATTACACACAAGGTAAAAACCTAAAGAAAATTATGGAAGACATGCCTGCAGCATTAATACTTAATAAAGAAAATGCATGCATTATACAAAACACACTACATGGAATCTCCTCAAGACAGAATTCTTTAAATTCTGGTGTGGGAAGGTAAACATCCGTCATAGATTTGTAAGCTCACATTACAACAAAAGGCTCTGGCAAATATTTACAAAATCGCTGAAATCATAAAACGAAAAGGGGGTGGAAAGAGTTTCACACAAATACAGCAAAAATAACAGAAACCTTTATTTAATACAATAATTTATATTATAGCAAATATATAAATTTAATACATATTAAATATATATTATTTTTATAATATACTACATATTGCATATGAATATTGTTGAGATAATTTACATGTAATATGCTTGCTTTAGTTATGCCAAAGATAAAAAAAGTAATCAAAATGAACAGGTTTTATGCAAAATTTCAGTGTCCATTAATGTACTATTTACTGGTTGTTAGGTAAAAAATAAGCATCAAAAGAAGCCTACTTTTTCATTTAAAAGAAATACTGTCTATTACTCAGTAATGTAAATTCAAAACTGAAAATTCAGTATCACTGTAACAAGCACCTCATTTGTTAAGTATGTTTGAAATTAAAGAACAAGTACACTATTTCATTAAAACTATTTTCTGGGAAAAAACATTTGTGCTATGCTTTTGTGTCATTGTAGGTTTCGCTGAATAATATTAAACTAAATATTCAGAAATGGAATTGTTTCCTTAATACATTAGAGATACTCAAAAGATAAGATATATATTTCATCAAAATTTATTCTTGAAAAATAATTACTTTTCTGTTGATGAGGAAATATTTTAAATTTATGATACCATAGTTGCCAACCTCAAAATTTGAAACACCAAAAGCAGTGACACAAAAGTCTAACTTGAATTTAGTTTTAAATTCATGATTTTATAATGCATTCAAACTAACTAACACTTGATTATGCAAAACACATACATTTAATATTTAATTCATTATTCTAAATTATATTTACTGATTAACTACATTACATTCTGTAATTTTTTTAAAATTTTACATTGCTCAAAACTTGAAGAAGAGAAACTTATTTGTCAAAGTGCAAACATTATAAAAATAAAATTAACAAGCACAGCTAAATTGGTAATGTACGAGTACCATTTTTAGGTTTAAAGCATAATGCCTTACTTATCAATTAAACATAAGCCTTCAAAAATTGTTTTATAAATTTCAGTGATGAATTGATTTAATTTAACAATTATCAGAAAAATTATAGTGAATCACTGAATTTTAGTTCCAATTAGAGGTAACAGTGCCATTGGCATAATGTTTTTATTTAAAGAGTTTGTAATCTAAATGTTTTTATTTCCTTTTCCTTCGAAACTTAATAATTATTTTTAGAACTACATTTGAAAGAGATGATGTAAATGCATATAAACTTAAAAATTTGGAGATTTATGATTTGCGTTAAAAGATCAGCAACTCCCGTTTTATCAGGAAGATAGTTAATGATGCCAAAGGAAAATTAAATTTGAAATAAAATTAAGTATAATTACCTCACATTTTAATATCAGGATTCCCAATTATAAAATTAAACTTAGGATCAACATGGGCAAGCTGGAAAAATAAATAAATAAAACCATCCAAATGCATTTCTTACTCAAAGTTCAATGAAACAAATTATTATTTCATCAGAACAGAATGGTTTGTTTTAAAGTTTAATAGGGCCTATAGCTTCTGTGTATCTGAAAAGTGAAAAAATATAGAACAACGTACTATAAAAATATTTAATGTTTTTAATGAGAAGTATCAAATTATATGGGTTATTTTTTTTTTTTTTTTTTTTTTTTTTTTTTTTTTGTCCACTGACCCAAGAGAGGGCACTACCAGCTTTCTCCCTCTTGTTCAGAAGGGAGTTTTGGACTGGTTCTACACTCTGTTCCTGGGTGCCATCAGTGAAGCATGAACTCATCTCTCTTCTGCCTCGTGATGCCAGCATATCTGTTCTACAACTTTTCTGCTTATTGCCAACGGGAATTTATTACCTGAAAAATGCTTACGTTGAGCGATTTACATTCGATTTTATTTTGCTATTAGTGAACGTGCATTGAAGTACATACATTTTCTAACCTTAATAAAAATGGTAATGGAATGCAGCCAAGATATCGTGGTTATACCTGCAGCAACACACATGCCACTACATGATCTACATCTTCTATATACTTTAAATATAGTTTATATCTTCTGTATACTTGAAATATGATCTATATCTTCTGTGTCTAATATGGTCTATAATATGATCTATATTTTCTGTGTATTTGAAGTGACAAAATATAGAAAGGCATTGAATAAAAATATTTAATGTTTTAAATGAAAAATATCATATTTTCATTTCGGTCTGATTGAAATATCAAAAAATAATATTCTAAAGAACTGCATCTCTTGCTTTTTAAATATTTTAGTTAGTTAATATATAAGAGACACATTCAATATTAAAGATAAAAAAGTGAAACAACACAAAATTGTGTTTTGAGACTAATAGCACTTTTGGAGTTAAAAAAAAGGGGGCATTTAATAGGAATTTAAATTCAATTCCTTCTAAGTATCTGTCTATGAGTTTTAATTACCTAAATTATGAAATCATATTTCTAAATTAATTGATACAAGATGTATACAGAAATTGATTAATCCCTATAATTTTCATATTTAGAAATAATAAAAGTGGGGAAGATTAAAATGTTTACTAATGCTTTAAATCTCACCCATTTTATTTCCCACTATCTTGTCATCCATTGTATCACTTTGTAAATCTTTCGAATGTTCAGAATCATTTGTTTTTGAGAACATGCAGCAGTTCTTAGGACGCTTTCCAACATCCCATACTTGCAAAGTGTGAGGATAATTCATTTTCAGAACAAGCTGTTCTTTAAGCACTTCAGTTTCAGCTGAATTATTAAGATCCAACATAACAGTCACAACACTTGTATTGTCTGCTCTCGTTCTCAACTGATTCCATCTTTCCAGCGCACAATCCACAAGTACCTTCGATGGGTTGCAAAGTGTCAGATGCTGAAAAAGTTTTACATAGCAGTTTAATACAGAAATATTTTGTAACAACTTTATTATTTATATTTGTAATAACTTTCACTCCATTATATGAAACATACCAATATTCATTCTGATTATTAAAAATTAAGGTACTCCAACAAAACACACTTTTTTATAAAACCAAAATCTATTTTGATTAGTAATACTTCAATATACATACAAAAAGAGCTCTAAACTTTATATTGCAGGATTCAGGTTACTGAATTATTTGTTGTGCAATTCTGATGTAAAATATGTTAACACTTAATAGGTAGATATGCTATATTTTATGCTCTTCGGCTAATTTTGTAATTTTTTTATACTTCTGTACCAAGAAAATCCCAAATGGGGGAAAAAGCTTTTATTTATCAAAGCACTTTTGAATGTGATGAAAATAAATTTAATAATTAAGGTAATAATATTTATCTGGATAAAATTAAGAATGCATCATATAAATGTGGCAAAATATTTACAATTGTTAACTGATTAATCATTAGTTAAATCTTCATATAAAAATCTACAAATGTCTACAGCAGTCTAAGACAGATTAGATAAAATGAAATTTAATAAAAAGATCAATAAAATGTAATAAAAACACAAAGACAGTTCACATGAAATAAAATCTAAGGAAAATTATCCTGAAAATACTAGAGGTAGAGGAATAGAATTTGCACAATTTAAGTTTCCTTCATTCAATAAATTTCATTTCTTGCTGGGAAACATTTTCCCTAGCAAAGCTATAAATTAAAAAACAAGAGAGATTTGGTTATCTAGCAGGCTCTGCCATATTATTAACATAAAAGAAAATTATCCAATAATATTAAGGGGAAATATTCAACACAACTTTTCTCAACAACAAAAAGAAACTTGATACTTGTTGGTTAATACATTGTAAATAATCTATTGCCCCATTTGACAATAAAATCCCACCCAGCCTTCCCCCCTCCAATTTTTTTTTAATTTTCAGCAAGCAGTATTGTATGGCAGCTCCAATCAAAATGTCATCAAACAGATTACTTTCTGCAGCTTGACAGTACCTTGGTTTGAAGTCCGATAAATAAGAAGACAAGCTATACTACTTTGCCACTTAGTCCTCCATTATGTTTATTCCCACATGCATTCCATTAACCTCGTCATTGTCAACACATCATATGATACACTTCAATTTCCCTACATGGGCCCATTGTATCAAAACAAAGTGTCAATGGTGGCCCATTGTTATCATGTTAGATAAACTAAAATAGAACATTTCCTTTCAAACTTTAAATACACTTAAATTATATGTCAGAATACTGCAAAACCTTATTAAATGGAATATCTCTTTAATATTAACCTTGTTGACATATTATTTATGATTTTATTTACAAACATAAAATGCACAATACTAACAATGCGCATTTAAAAACATTTTATGCACTGCAACTGGTTTAAAATTGTGTATGTAAATATGCAAATAGATGTAATAGGCACTAATATTTAAATTCTTAAATTGTCTACTTCATTATTGCAGGGGATTAATTTAAATATGAAAATATCATTATTATTATAAATGATGCACTAGAATTTATTTTGAATTTTTATTTGAATCATAAGCATTACAATTTTTTTTTTTTTTTTTTTTTTTTTTTTTAAATTATAAGAAATAACACATGCAGAAATCCAAACATATCAACAAAAAGCAGATTTTATAGAAATTATTTTTACAAGTCATGCTTAATTGCAATTAGCATTACTCTGTGCTCAGCACAGAGTGATGTACAATGCTCCAAGGTCAGAGACACACAGGAGAATTTCATTTTCTTGATGTTACAGCGAAGATGTTAATGCATACTAACATCAATCTCGGGGGAAAAAAGTAAAATAAAAGAAGCAATCCTACCCCTCCTTAAGCTTTCCTCCACACCAAAGAAAAATAACATAAAAACAAAATAAAAATCTCACATTTGTAAAAGAATTAAAAACCACTTTTAGCCTTTCTGAATGCTTAGAACTAGAGTTGTAGCTGATGCTGTTGACAATGCATTCAAAAGACATGAGCTAATGAACAAGTACCAGAAATTTAAACAAACTAACTTACGAGATTTTCTGAAACTCCATATTTGGCAATGAGTTTCTTATTTTCATTTTCAACATCTTGTACTAAATTAACAGCATCTTGTGGAGACATAATATTCCACAGACCATCTGATGCCAATATAAGACAAATATCTTTCTTTACGTCTAAAGTCATGACACCAAGATCCGGCTCAGGGCTTACAACAAATTCTTGCTGGAAGTAATCAAAACTCCACAAATCACCTGAAAGTTAAAATATATATATATATATATCAAAATTACATTCTCAAAGAAATGCAAAAGAGAAAAAATCCTATCAATGCCATGCAACAAAAAATACAATTACTACAAGTATATTATATGTTAACAAAAATCAGCAAATACCTCCTAAAAATCAAAATATACTGATATGAGGCATAGTACAGCAAAAGCTCAACTATGCAGGAAATGCCAAATTCTGGATATGTGAAAATTCCACATAGCTCAGCATATAAAAAATGGAATTCACGTTATAAAAGCCAAATCAGTGAGATAAATTTAAGTTCTAAAATTACACAAACAGTCATTTTATTTGTAACCAACTTAAATATCAAAAGCCTAATTGAAAATTATACAAGATTTTGAAGGGGAGAAAAATTTCAGTCACAAAAGGTGGCATATTTTGATTATTCTGAAATCCCGCCAAACATCAAAGTTGGCGGAGATGCCACCAATTATTCCAGTGTACATTTAAATTAATAAAATTATTTAATTAGACAATAAAGAGATACAAAATTCAGTTTTACACTGCCAATGTTTCTCCATTTTCAAAGTTGTATATCATGGCTTTTTTATGTTCAGACCTTGTAACTCGCTTCACACAGTTCTAAACATTAACCATTTTTTTCTTTTCCAAAATGAGGGAAAAAAAAAAAAACAGAATTTACAACAACCTCTAAATTAAACTGGCTTATGCAAATTTAATCGAATTTACATTAACCCAAAACGAACTTCTTATGATTGCATTGTAACACTGTGTTTATCCATTACTGGCACTAAATCACACTGTTTGGCAATAATGTGTTAATAGTAAACTGCTCAAAACAATTAAAGGATATTGTAAGTTTTATATAAAATAAAGATATAAGCGAATTTTTTTTTTTTTTTTTTTTTTTTTTGCAAAAAATGGAAGAGAATCACAAATGCAAATTTTTCTGATTTTCAAACTGTGGAGTATGCTAATTTTGAGTTCAACGTTAAAAACGTCGCTTCAGCGGCAGAGAATGAAATTTGACTTCTGAACAAAAGACAAAATTTGACAACTGAACAAAAGACAATGAAGACAAGGATGATCGGCCATTCAGTGACTGCTTTGTTTCGATGAGTACAATGTCTCAGTGAAGTCATTTAACCAATTCAGAAGCTTGGAGAGTTGTTCGTAAGTTAGAAGGAGGCCAAACTCAAGCCGAAGTAGCGCAAGCCATCGGAGTGTCACAAAGTGTGATTTCCAAGATCTGGAACCGTTTTTCGGAAACTGGAAGTGCAGGCCGAAGACCAGGGTAAGGTCGTAGACGGGCAACAACGCCCAATAAAGATCTTTATTTAGTGTTAACGGCTCGGAGACACCGAAATATGAATGCTACTCTTCTCCAATAACACCTTCGCTCGGTTACTGGCACCACAGTTTCAACTCAGACCGTCTGAAACCGGCTCCATGGTGTATGTAGGTCTGTATGCTCACCAACCGATGGTACGTGTTAGACTAACATCAAGGCATTGTCGCGACCGCAGGGAGTGGGCAACAGAGCATGTGAACTAGAGAAGAAATGAATGGAGCAATGTTCTTTTTTCTGAAGAGTCTCGTTTTTCTGTTCATCCTGATAATAGGCGTATTTTCATTTGGAGAGACCGTGGCAGTAGGAATAATCCTGCGTTCATGCACGAAAGTGTCAGATTTGGCAGTGGGGGAGTTTTGGTGTATGGGTATCCATTGACAGGCGCACAGTCCTCTACATCATTCGAGATGGACCTCTGACTGGTCGCTGATATAGGGATGAGATCCTCAGACCTATTGTAGTCCCTTACGCTGCAGCAATCGGAGATGACTTCATTTTAATGGACAATAACTGCAGGCCACATCGTGCTAACCTGGTGGAGGATTTTCTTTTTGAGGAAGGAATCGTACGAATGGAATGGCCAGCGTGTTCTCCAGACATGAATCCAATAGAACACGTTTGGGACGCTCTAGGAAGACGAGTTGCTGGCCGCCAACCGCCCCTACAAACTCTCCAAGAACTGGAAAGAGCTCTTCTGGAAGAGTGGGACAGAATACCCCAACTCGTGATTAATAGCCTCATTGACTCCATGCCTCAAAGGTGTTCAACGTTGCTGGCTGTCCGAGGAAACCATACCCTCTACTGAAAATTATTTCCTTTGAAGAAAACACCTTTTCTTATTCTTTTTTTCTCATACGCACAAATTGTGTTTTTTCCTTTTGTACACAAATGCGCAAAATGCATTTTTTTCTGCCAAACATGTGTAATTTATTCTCTTATAACCTACTACGTCTGTCGACCATGCATTAATCAGCTAAAAAGTTTCCGAGCCACAAGATCCACCTAAAACCGCAATATCCTTTAATTGTTTTGAGCAGTGTATTTTGAGCTCTATAATGCCATTACAAATCTGTATATATACAAAATTTTTCAGGAGAAAATTGTTTTTCTAAAATTCTCTAAAATATTCAGGCTACTTTGAGTTTTCCATATAGATGGAATACCAGATAGTCATGCTTTTACTGTAAAACTAAAAAGTATAGTTGCCTAAGGTATAAAAGCAAGTTTTTATTTTTGTGCATTATTTCACATGACAAATTTGAAAATGTCAGACTGTGAAAGAATTTACTCAGCTGCAAGCCTTTAGGATTTAACTGACGGTTTTAAAGGCACTATTTCTATTATACCTTATTTGTTCATATTTTGTGATGCCATTTGTTCATGTTTTGTGATGCTATTTGTAGAAATAGCAGCATGTGAAGTCTATTGGTCATGGCCACAATTAAATAAATCATATAGATTAAAGAAAATTAAAGCACATATATGATGAATAAAAATTGCACACCATTTTAAAATTACTATATATATTATCATATAGTTACGAAACTAAGTTAATCCAAGTTACAAATTTTTTAGCATAATGATATATAACTTAGAACAACTCTACTGACATGATTATTGTTGCAGTTTTTAAGAATATGCAGTAAATGCAATGAAGTTTCATAACATAATACACTGACAGAGATAAATGTTTTTCAACAAATCTCTTGAAGGTCTGCAATTCTTCAGCAACTTCCTTGCTCTGTTATCTTCCACCACCTGATTTTCTAAAATGTAGGATCAGTAGTTCATCTTTATACATTGGATAATACCTCAGTTCATTGGCTGTTCAAGGCTTCCTACACTGGTAACAGATAGGTAACATAAATGTTTTCTGCATTTAAATCTTCGGATAAACTGCAGAAAATAGTGTTCATCCATTACATATTTTTTAATCTCATAGGTATAAATTTTGGCTTTAAACTTAGATCTTCAAAAGTGGCATTATTCTGGTATTACCAATTAATTGTATACTGGTTTCACGAGATTTCACTGCTCTGAAATCAGGTATGATATCCGTTTTAACCAATACTGCATAGATATTAAATACATTGATAAGTAACACAACTTGAACCTCTTACATGCTAAAAATGTATTCACAGAGAACTTCATTCTACATAAATGCAAGTTTACATGGCTGTACATGCACTTTGGATCAGTATCTTAAATACTGCTTATTAACTAGGCCATATGGCTAGCAAAGGAAATAGGTTTTATAAATTGATGTGTCAAGGTAGAATGAGTTTAAGTGACAGGTTTGCAAAAAACCAAGGAAGCAATTTCTTTCTGAATACATATTATTTCATTTAAAAGTTTAGAAACTTCATTATTCTTGTGTGGTGCTGTTTCAAATAATATATACAGTACAAAGTCCGAAATCCGGACTCGTCGGGACTTCAGCGATTCCAGATTTGGAATTTTTCCGGATAATAGATCATCAGTTTAAATCTAGTAAGATGGCATGTAGAAATTATAAAATTAAAAATAGGAAATCGTGATTTATGAAATAATGAAGTATTTATGATCTAAATGTAATCTTTGGGTCTATGAGTATCATCAACAAAATCTATTTTTAGCATATGAAAAGAAATTTTTGGTAAATTTTTCCTTGTCAACATTTTTTAGCACAACCAACTGAAATCTAATCATCGCCAAGCGTAATGTCAACATAAAAGGTTACCACACTCCTTTATTATTCAAATACTAACATAAAAATTTTTTTTAGGTATCGCTACATGAGTCATTACTCAAGTTGTCATGTTTTGATAAACATACAGTAATGAAAGGAAAGTATAATAAATAATGATTCGCCTGGTTGGTGTCAGATCAACGATGTATCTATGTGGAATCTTTCAGTTTCAGATGCGTGCCAAGCAAATATGCAGCAACGAAGCCATATTACTACTGATTGTACAAATTTATGCTAAAATGATTGTTTCTTCAATAACAAAGTATTTTACTTAGTGTCAAAGTGAAATTAAGAATTGGGATTCTCCAGATGTTTTATTATGCGCATGGGTAAAACCTACGAGAAAAATTTTGTTGGTGGTTTTGAGGTCCAGATTTTAGATCATTCCGGATAATGGATATCCGGATTTCGAACTTTGTACTGTATATGGCTTATTAGTAATGATACGCACAAATGTCATGTAGCTACTGTCGATTACCTCTCCTATTTTGCCTCGTTTTAAAATATATGACAGCAATAGAAATATTAACTTGCATCCAGAAATTGCAAGATGTAATGCATGTGAACTGTCAATCTACTAAAATTAGTTTTATTATGCATACTAGCATATGTGAAAAAAGTCAACATTTAATGCAATTTTTGTACTTCGTTACATTTATTTTTGGCCAATAAATAATTTTTTACATAAATTTTGTCTAAAAATGTAATTTGTTTTACAATTTTTGAAATAAAAACTGGACCACTCTTGAAAGTTTTTTTAAAAATTTATTTAGTTTGAAATGTACTTCAGCAGATAAAACCATAAATTATGTACATCATACTCAATATTTCTGGAAATATAGTAATTATATTACACAGAAAAATATAAGGGGATTGGCGAAGAAAACCAGTCTCTTTTAACCACTTAACAGTTTCTATTTTCCATCATATTATGACAAAAAATAAGCATATTTTTGATAAACATTTTTATGAAGAAATTCATTATATAAACCAAATCAGCAGTCAGAACTATTACAAGTGATGAATTTATTGATTTATGCTAATTTTTATTTTCATTGTAAAAAGCACATTTTCCCTTAAAGTTGGCTTTTTTCGAACAAGTAAGCGAACTAGAAAGAACACTTTACAAAAATAAATGTCAGAATTTAAAATGTTTTATTGTTAATACATATCTGTTCAATTCCAAAGAAGAATTATTTATTAATATCAAGAAAGAAGGATTATTAATATCAAATTCACAAAAGTTCCAAATTTGCATTAGATTATCTATACTTTGTTTCTTCATAACTAGTGATGTCAGACAACAAATTGTCATTACTTCCAGATTCATTTTGTGAAATTTCAGATTCCCAACCTGAGTCAATATCAGAGTTATCTTCAGTTATAAGCTGCTCATTATCATTAATTTTTTCTTTTATTTTAGCTCCAAATTTAAAAGAAATAGTATTCGCAGTAGCCGGAACACGAGCTAGTGAAAAGAAATTTTGCGCCTTTACTTGCTCAAAAGAATTCAGTAAAACTTAACCTTGAAACCAGTTGTTTTGCAATTCTAACTTTACTGGATTACTAGCGCCATCTGTTAAACATTACACACTAAACAAGCAAAAAATTTGGGCAAATCAGTGTACTAGACTAGAAAAAAATGTTGCCTGAGTGCTGCTCCAGAAAACAAAAAAAGTGCCATTTCCAAGTGCCCGAACAAAACTGGGAAGTGGTTAAAAGGAATTGATGAAAGAAAAGGACTGGGAACCTTTGATATAAATTATTAGCACATCATAAAAAAAATTCTGTGTGATAAAGTCATTAAGTCATTAGATGATTATGCTGAAGTTGAAGAAAACATCTGTATCAAAATAACTCCATTTTATGTAGCATGTTTATTTTAATATTATTTTATACTAATATGCAAGAAAAACAACATTCTTTTTTTTTTCCTTAACAAATGTTTTAGCCTTTGGTCCTATTTAAGTTAAATTCATGTGTTCTGTCATTCATTCATAGTTACAAAATTAAGACTACTGACTTATCCAATTTTCATCAGTCCAATATAGAACATAATTCCGCCCAGATGGTATAGTGGTAAGGTGACTGATTGTAATTATGCCAATGCCTCGAGGGCTATCTACCTAAGGGAAGGGATGCCTTTGTAGAGGACTTTCTAAAGGAAACTGGCTCGTATACACATTACACATGGGAAAAACTATAAAAAAGGCCATGCAGTCAGCCCGTTTGCTGGATTCGAACCTCAGACCGAGCTACCAGTGTTCATAAATTTTACTTCTCAGCCACTGGAGGGCATATAGTGGTTAAGGGAGCCAACTGCGATACTAAAGGGCCCGGGTTCGAATCCCAGAAAAGGCATGGATGTAAATTGTCTATCCTTTCATAGGAGGAAACAGTAGCCACCAATTCTGACCTTACTTATAGCAAAAGCCCAAAATGGATAGTGCTGATATTTAAAAAAAAGTCTGCAACACAACTTTGTGGCATTACTATATACTATAACCAATAAATTTATACTTTATTTCATTTTAATCAGTTTAAATGTTTTCAATGATTAAAATAAAATATTATTTTCTTTCTACTGGATATAATGTCATCCTTTTCTATTTACAACGTCTTAAAAAAAATTAGATTGTTCAGGTATAATGCTTTGGCTGCAATAATCTAGAATACACATTTAGATCATATTTATGAGAAATCTTGAATATTACAGCCAAAGGCAAAATGATAGTGTATATCTTAATAAATAAGATGGTTTGTTTTTCAGTCTGTGCCTGGTGATTTTTCCCTACACAGCAAATATATAATTCTGACTACATATTATTAAATTCTGATCTATATATAATTCAAGACTACATTAATATTTTAAAATAACATGTAAATGACAGATATATGTTTAGTCATTACAATTTAGAAATATATCCGGGTATAACAAACAGAATAAATATAGACAGCCAAAATTACCCAGTGAACGAGCAACAGCCAGAAAAGGTATTTTGTCAAAATCAGTGCTTCGTAATACTGGTCCTTGATGGCCGGGCCTTGGTCTTTTCCATACCACTCTCTCTACACCAGATTTGCTCATTACAAGACCGCCTGAATCAAGAATGCGTTGTTTCTCTGCAGGAGATTCTGGTTTGTGATCTATTGTTAGGCATTCCGCCTGCCACTCTTCAATACCTAGTAAAATAAACAGAGGCATTTAAAAAACAGCATATATGGTAACATATCAATCATTATATGTATTTCTATACTTATATGGAAATTATGAAAACAATCTATTAAATCCTTAAATTATATATAATTTTAAAAGAAATTTAATAAATATGTTTTCAGATGTTATAACATAAAAATTTCATAGTACTACTGCATTATCCGCCGAGCGCTCTGATAAAGTTGCAATCATTGGAGACTAATTTTTAGCCAATCTCACATGTGAAAAACAGAAGACATTTTACAAAATGGTAACATACTTAAAATGACACAAAACAGCAAAAAAAATAAAAAACAAGAAACATCCACAATAAAACACTGAAAAATGAAACAGAAAAAAAAAATTAAATAATCAAAAACAAAAACATCTATAATGAAACAATGACAATCACGTACATTGTCTATAACGAAACACCAGAAATTACACAAAATAGCAACAAATTAACTAAATTAAAAACACAACAAACATGCACAATAAAGCCTTTTTTCACAGTTTTCAGCCCATGTGCCCAGCAATATGTTTTAATTTGAAAAAACACCAGAGATCTGCAGAATTCTCAGTATCACTGAGCAACTTGGCACTGCTCTCAGTATACACATTGACTTAAACTACTTTCTAGTTGCAAGATTTCTACAATAATGTAACATGGAAGACAAATAAAAGCTAGCCAGCCAAATTTGACATTTTACAGCATTTTATTACTTGAAAAATAATAATTAAATTTAATCTAGTATTAACATTTTTACAGTTGACGGATACTGTTCGTCTTCAAAGCAGTTTAGTATAAGGGAAAATATTTACCTTAATTTACGAGTGAAGATTACCAAAGCACAACAGCTCAGTTGACACAGTTGGCAAATTTATAATTGCCGCTCTTTAATGAGCAAATTTCAAATGTTATCAAAGATTTATAAGCTTACAGCTTTAACAAAGAAGTGAACAAAGGAATATCAAATTGTTGAAAGTGTACAATACCCTTTATATTAAAAAAAAAAAAAAAAAAAAAAGAGAGAGAGAGAGAGCGCGAGAGAGAGACAGAGTCCTTCCCCCATCCATCAAGTATGTTTCTCTTGCCCCCTCCTGACATCCATTCACCCAAGTCACTCCCCTCCCCCCAACTAAAGGATCATGCACCAACTTGTACCTCACTTTACAGATAACTTTGTGATTTTCTGCAGCAGATTATTTCTGCTTAAATTTTTCCTAAAGTTTTTTCACATAAAATATTCTTCATAAGAATATAGTACAAATAATGTTTTCAAACTTGCTGATGGCTGAATGGGACAGATGCTGAATGCCGGCAGTTCTTGCCAACTCAATACTGCCAGTTGAGGGGAGGAACCTTTTGTGAAGCATTTTATAAGATAAAATTGGCCTGTGTTTAAGTTATAAATGAAACAAACTGCCTGTTTAAAATCTATAGGAATATAAGTGGCTGAACTATTAGTGTTTTACCATTCATATTTTTTAAATTAATATCCTACTTCATTATTAAAGGTTTTAAACAAAACCAATATATTATAGTAAAAGCAACTTTTTCAATGAGTAATTAAACTGTGATATTCAAAAAACGTAATTATGCACTAATCATATGGTGCACCTTTTTTAATAGTAAGTACGAAGGTCATTCAGCAAATAAAGGCCACTCAGTCACACAAAATGGAAAACAAAATATTTATTACAGAAAACATTTCTGTTACAAGTCTGAAGCTTATTTCACTTCTCTACATAATCACCATCATTTAAACATTTCTTGTATCTGTTCACGAGCTTCAGAATTCCAATGTTATACTTTTCTGTCACCAATCCATTAAGCCACGTGGTCACTGCAATCAAACAAAAGACCACTAGTGTATTTCCATCATCCAACTCACTCCTCTTTCCAGTAACAGTTGTATTCATAATGCTGTGAATGGTGGTTGTGAAAAGTTGCCCTTTTGCAGCTAGGGTAGCCAAAATGAAATGTGTGATTGAAAATCCTGCTGACTGTGAGGTAAGGAGAGTGTGGAGTTTGGAGGTCAATTTGTGAATGCTCAATAGGTAAAACCGGCATTTTCAGCAACTTAAAGCAGTGTGTTTTGAAAATGTAATGAACAAAAGAAATCTGAGAAAATGGTAAGAAATGCTCAACTATGCACGAACAAATGTGCACGATGAAGCTTGACCTAAAGGCACAACACGCATCACAGAATACCTGAGGACTGCAGTGAAAAACAGTATCTCATAAGACTAAGTGTAACTCTCAACGAATTACACTCTGTGTTTCCAGACATTTTTTGTTCTTTGCTTGATGAAACTGGGTTGCTACATCTCAGCTACAACAAAATTTGTGCGCAGCAGCTGAGTGACCAACACACAACTTAGAGAATGGGCTCAGCATTAACATTCTTGATAATCACACACATGGAGACGCCTTTCTTGATTGGATTGTGACTGGTGATAAGACCTGTGTGTGTGTCACATCACCCCAGAAAGCAAGCGCCAATAACTTGAGTAGCATCATCTCTCATCTTCCAAAAAACTAAGAAAATTCAGACAGATTTTCTCAACATAAAGGATCATGGAAACAGACTTTTGGGATTGTAAAGATGTTCTTCTGGTGGATTTCATGCCAAAAGGATCACAATAAGGATAAATACAAATCCTTATTGTGAGACTCTAAGAAAAACTACAGTGAACCATCCGAAAGAGGAGGCAAAGAATGCTTTCTGGAGGAACTGTTTCTGGAGGACTGCATGTCAATGCCCACCCTCACACTGCTGCTGCAACTCCAGAGTTGCTGAATCAATTTAAAGGAGAGATTTTTTATCATCCACCTTATAGTTTGGACCTTGGCTCCTAGCATCCACCTTATAGTTTGGACCATTAACTGAACTGGGTGGTAAATGCTTTGGAAATGATGAAGAATTACAGAATACAGTGACTACCTGGCTTAACAAACTGGCAGCAGAGAAGTATTATATGGGAAATCTGAAGCTCATGACCAGATACAACATATGTTTAAAATATTGCGATTTTCATTTTGCATAACTAAATTATCTTTATTTTTTGGATACCTTCATATGTAAATTATTCCTTTCATGAAATGCCGCTTTGCACTACTAGTTTTTGACATTAAAAATAAAGAAGATGCAAATTAAAAATATGTTGTTACTCTATAAAAGTATGCATGCAAAAATTAAAAAACAAATGAAAATGTACTTGTTAATTTATGAAATTATTTTTTTCACCATCACAAACAGTAGATGCTTTTTTTATTATTACTTATAAAATTGTGTATACCAAGTAAACGAATAAATTTGTAAATTAAGATTAAAATTGTTATTTTAAAAGTATTCAAATATTTAAACAGAAAAAAAAAGGCAGTTTTTAATTATAATGCACTGTAAAAATCAAGTAAAATTTTAAAAATACACAACTTTATCTATACATATTGACATAAGCTTTATTACATTTCAACACTTATATTCAAAACAAATTTAGTAACTTACAACACTGATGTAATTCTCAAACAGCATTTCATTACTTAATAAGTATGTTTCAACACTTTTATCTTTGAATTAAAATTTTATAATATTTCAATTTTGATTTGCATGGCACCTTCAAAATCCTGAAATGCAATTTAAAAAATGTATGGTAATAATTATCAATAACAATGGAAATAATTTGAAAACAGAATTGGAGACTAACGAGATAAGAGCTGAAAGGTATTCAGAGACTGGGAATACTTTGTCTTCCCTTACTGCACAAGTGCCAAATAAGGTTAGTGGGAGAAGGACACTCCTTTACAGGTGACAAGGGGAAAGGAAAATTGGGCAAAGCATTACACATTAGGCAAATTGGCACCCCAACCATTTGCACTACATATGTACCATGCTGTTCCAGTGTCATTAGATATATATTTCTTCTATAGAGGGCATGCTACCAACCTCAGACGGTTCAAGTACTGCAAATTTTGTTATATGATATGTCTTTTGGATGCACTTTTTCAACTTCCCACAATTTCTTCAAAAACGTTTTGGTGTTTATTTTTTTGCAGCAGAAATAGCCTTGACGAGAAAGCCTTGATGAGAAAGGTCTAGCACATTCCAGCACTGATGAGAGATTATCAATTTAAGCATGGTGACAAACACTGCCTGCGCATAGTTCAGAAACAAAGAGTTAATTATCTAATTGGATTTCTGTAACAGCATCCTGCCAATGCAAGGATTTTTTTAATTGTAAAATACTCGTCATAATCTTCAATCAGCTGCAAAAGAAGCTACAGTTCAGGGATTCCCAATGGAAATAAGCTATAGTACAGTACAAAGTCCGTAATACGGACTCGTCGGGACTTTAGCGATTCCGGATTAGGGTTTTTCCGGATTAAAAATTATCAATTTAAATCTGGTAAGACGGCATGCAGAAATTATAAAATTAAAAATATAAAACCGTAATTTATGAAAAAAGAGCAATTATGATCCAAAGGGTATCCAAATTTACACCCCCCCAAAAAAAAGCTTAATATTTATATGTTTACTTTAGTAAACATTTCTATCAATGTAAGTTGCTTCATTTTTTGTGCTAATACTTTCTCTTTAATTCTATAATTAGACATAATTTCTTGTTCAGTTACAAAGTTCCACTGTTCAAGTCCTGTAATTGCTGTGTCGAGCATACCGATTAACTTATCAATAGAAATTTTTTCATTTTCAATACTCTGTTACTTTCTTCACTATCAGAAGCGTGCATGGGTAAACGCTTTACTGGCTTTATGTACATGTGTAGCGAACACGCGCATCAAACGCGCATGCGTCAGTTTGTGGCTTTGACATCCGGATTATAGATCATTCCAGATAATGGACGTCCGGATTAGAGACTTTGTACTGTAGTTATAGAATAAACCCAAAAAACTACATTAAGATGAATAAGCCCAAAATTCAAAAGCTGATTAGGATAGAGTAGAGAGTAATACAAGGGTATTCGC